TTGGCCGTACTTTTCAACTGGGGTGGGGTATATATTGACGCAGACGTTATCCTCTTACGAAATCTTAATAACTGGATGACAAATGCTCTAGTTTTGGGAAGTGAGGAGCAGAATGCGTTCGATCTTTCTTTTATGAAGTTTGAGAGAGGTCATCGGTTCTTAAAGACTGCTTTCCTGACAAGTTCAGAATGGCAGGCATCCCCACCAGATGAGCATGGTTCCGCCTTTTTGTTTCAAACCTGGTCTAACAACTTTAAACGTAGTGTAAAAGTGTTGAGGCATAAAGCTACCTTCAAGCAGTTTAATGCCCAAAACGCAGAGGAGTGTTTAAAGAGCTCATCCGGACCTGTTTTTGAATCCAATATGAAACGAGTTCAACGGGGAGTGTATTTCGCAAAGGTTACGGGGTTAACCAACCTTGGCAAACTTCGGAATGGAACTATTTGCAAGTATTTGTTCAACTCGTTTTGTGTTCTGTGTAATAATGTGTACTAACGGCAGTCAAGGCAGTCAAGACAATCTAGAATGTGCAGTGAAATGAAGTCACGTTCACTTCATGTGAACACCAAGAAAACTAAACGTTTGAGCTGTCTAGAAACGGACTTTTTGCTTTTTACCTAGTGGGTCTTTTATAGTCGCCCAATTGAAATGAATATTTATTAGGAACACATTTTGTGCAATTTTCGTCTCCTCTTAAAAGTATGAAAACTATTTGATGACTTTTTTTTGGGGGGGGGGGGTAATTTTAAAGTGCACTTCTTGAAGCATTTAAATTGTACATGCTTTTCCGGACAACTGATTGCGATATTGCCGTGATGTCATTTTAGAAAAAAAAACTGTTCTTTTCTTTTTCAGAAAGACACTGTTCATTTTAGGGGTTTCCTGTTGAAGTGTAAACCCAAAAATCTGCTCATTGAGAACATTTGTGATAAAACTTTGCTCACTGGATTACTGCCATGTACTTACACAACAACAAATCACCAAAGAAAAGCCCATTTACTGCAGCAAAATATCACAATTTCTGATAACTTTTTGTGCTAAAATATAGCTGTAACATTGAGGTTTGTGCGTGAAATGACATCACACTTTTGCTCATGAAAGTGGAAATTCGCTTTAGCATAAAAATAAAAAAGGCACAAAAATACCCTAGAAAATGACAAAACGAAAATTGAAATAAGGTTAAATTGGACAAAAGGTACGTTTTCAAGTACTGCATTAAAACAATTATATTGCATGGGCCTTTTAAAATCTATAATATTAGCCATTGGGCGTATTATTTATTTTGGATGAAGAAAAAAAAATACAAATAATTTATTTTTAAGCCTAGAAAACATAGTTCTTTATCAGTGTGCTTTGCTTTGCATATTATTTAACAGGTGTTTTTGAAAAAAATCTGCTGTTATTTTCTAGACTATGCTTATAGGTTATGTATGCACGTCATACATCAAGAAAAAAATATGGTTAATACGTGCGGATTGTACAGTGTGAAATATTGAGTTGAAATTCCAGAAAGTGAAAGATGATTAAAAAGAGTTGCAATGGAACTTGTCGTAGGTCAACAATTAAACAACTTTTTGTTTTAGTAAGAAGAACAAAAATTTGAAGTTTATATTTTAGGTCAGTTCAAGCTGGAACAGAAGCGGAAATATATTTTTCTTTATATAAAATTTAAACGTTGTCTTATTTATCATTAGTTTTATATTTTATATATTATATTCATTTCTATAATGTTTAATTGTGTTAATTAAAAACGAATGGAGCTATGATATGGATCAAAGATGGCTGCAAGGGTAGCAGTAGGCTATCAGCTTTGGTAAAAAAATTGGGCCACCGGTATCAAATGATCGAAAGGAGCGATGCTCCTAGCGAATTTTGGCAAGGTATGCCCATCTACAGTTGGAAAATGTGTGATGGCTTTGCAGTGTGAGGGGTGGCAGCTTTTGTGGGTGTTATCACCTTTAATACAATTTTAGCCACCAATATGCTTTTTACCGGATTAATTATATGTGGTAACAAGCATGTTTTGGCCGCCATTTGTTTTTGTTGTTTTTTTAAGTGATCGTACCCAAAAAGCTGTCACCGCTGCAATGCTATCGCATAGTTCCCAACTTCATGGGTGTATATCTTGCCAAAAATCACAGTGAGCATTATTCCCCTCATTTGATACTGACCAAACCCCCAGGTTGATGGCCTACACTAAGTACAGTGTTTTTTTACCACAATGTGCCATCCAGACACCGCTGCAATGCAGCTTCTCCAATAGGCCGAGTGTGGATTGATGGCCGGAAAGTTAAACCATTTCTTCGTTGAACAAAACATGTAAATAATGATCATTTATCTCACAAAAGTCTCATAGACCTTTAAAATTGAGCGCCATTTTGTAAATGAACCAGTGGTTGGCAACACAATTTAAAAATCATCATTGGCGCCTTCTTTTAGTAAGAGAGTGGCAAATTTATTGTCATTGGTAGGGATTCTTTGGGATTTTGTATTTTCAACAATCCAATTCTGTAAATGCAACATTGACCCTCCATAGTTTGCCAACCCATTGTTGGCAAATAAATTGCCAACCAAAGAAAGTCTTTACATTCTAGGAAGGGCATGGTTTGAAAAGAAAAAAAAACAAAAGGAAAAAAGATGCACACCATAAACAACTAAGAAACATGGCTTTTTTTTTAGTTCTTTAGTAATTAAATTTCATTTGTTAATTCAGATAAACCGTGAAATGCTAAAAGAAAAGAATGGTCGAAATCTTTGAACAAAAACCTGTTATTAGCCTTTAATACTTTAGCCGAGCAATATTGGAGTAATGGCCATGAATTTTGCTATTGATTTGTAATTATTTGAGTTTCTTTCAGTAAGTTGTGATTGTAATAAGATTGTCTATGATTGCAATTGACTTGTACATGACTTGTATGCAAACTTTCAGCAAAATATGCAGAAGTGTTAATTTAATTTTCGCATAGTAATAGGCCTATGCGTACCGCGAAATGATTCGTTCAGTTTGATCATCTTGGAGACAAAAATAAACACATTTTCGATTACAACAATTTATTTAAATAAAGAATTGCATCAGCTGTATATTTCTGAGATGGGTGGTCGCTCTTTTTGTCCATGCATGTGTTTGATTTCTTTTGTTTCATTCAAAAGTGAATATAGCTGCTTGCAAAATATATGGCAACAAATCCAAATATTCGGCTTGAAAAACGGAAAAGGTTCGAGGACAGCGGCTCATGCCGGTTTGGTATGTAATCTTAGCTTAAAGGTTGATACCCGTGGCTTATAGACCAATTCAAATACGTTATTACTTTCCATCACAGCGTCTCCAATGGCGAAAGCATTGTGCTAGCTTTTCATATTCTCCGTTATGAGTCAGTTGCTTTGAACAAAAGCGTGCACAATGGTTTCTCCATTGAAGGGGGTCTCATGTGTGTACCGCGATCTCTCGCCCGGTTTCGTCGATAGGGGACTATGGTTAAAGTTTCAGTTTTAACATCAACAGCGCCCTCAGATAGGGCATTGGCAGCTAGCTAGGATAATGTTTTCCCATAGTTAGGTGAATTTGGTGCTTGTCGTCGCGATCTAAACGAGAGGGCCTGTATTAAATCCTACTACTGTACGTGAAGAATCTTATAAAATTTAAAGTAATCAGAACTGTTGGGGTTTAGGCCTATAAAGTGCGATTTGCGAACGTACTCTGTTTGCACACGGCGCTCACTAGTCCAAATTCGAATACCTGTGGTTTATTTGTTTAATATAATAAAGTCTTTTTGTTCCTTTTTGTTCTCTCAATATTGGGATTTTGCCCTTTGACGTAATTTAGACATATTTTACATGTTTGTTTTCACGGAAAAAGGAGTCCGGGAACCTGTTCTGCAGCTCCTATGGTACGACTCTCAGCTGTAAAACCATGATATCTTTATAATAACCTTAAACCTGAAGCGCCTGTGCCGGTACATTGTGTGTGTTTTTGGGACCCATAAACTGTGCGTCAACTGAGCCCCATCCGCCTTGTACCCGGTAAGCAACCGAAGGTTATCAAACATTACGTCATGCCTATAAAAAAGACGGGTAGCGCCCTCAATCTTAAACAGAATGATGAAGATGACGTCTGCTGTCTTATCTCTGGCCTCTCAAAGTCCATGTTTTCCCTTTTGTCATTTCATATTAAATGGTAAATTCAGTCCTATTGCTTGCGAATTGCCCTCGCCAAATTTTATTTAATTTACGGAAGTAATATTTTAGCGTTACACAACTTATACGAATCACTGCACTAAATATCCTTGACATTTTAGAGTACATGACAAATATAATGGACACCTATAGAAGTAAAGGCCGTGTTGAAAAAAACAAACAAACGCAATCTATGACGAAAATAACATTGGGGAAAATAGGGATTTGCTCGGGAAAACCCCAATGTGAACGTCGGCACTGAACCGAACACAGGCCTTTGTATCTTACATTCACCGGAAATAATGTTCACCCGTGTTGGAATTCGAACCACAAAAGTATGTGGGGGAATATTTCTGTTTAACTCTGGACCACTGACTATAGTCATCCAAACTAGTTGCCAACTTAACGGAAACAGATTGTTTTTTTACAATTCTATTGCGTTAACACATTTGTAAACACTAAATTGTACCCACTTGTATCTACGACATGTTTACACATTATGTAGTGGATGTCTGTCATACGTTTAGGCATCATAAAAAAGCCTGTTATTACCAACAAGTTTGCATTAAACATGTACAGGTTCCGATCCATTATCATAATGGCTCAACAAAAAAAGAACGAAAGGCAAAACATTATGCTAGACTTTTTTAACAAGTTATTCCTGATACCACTAACCGACTTTCTTTCATACTGCGTAAAAAATCTTAACATTGTTCAGAATTAATGTGTTCTACAAATAGGCTTTAAAAAGTGTCATTATTGCAGTCTATGAAATCAAAATACTATGAATGTCAGGCTTCACAATGAATTCCCCCCCCCCGAAAAAAACCCGCTCCAACTTGCGTCAATCTTAGCAAATGACCTTCATGCAAGTGATGAATACACACTGAACAAGATGTCTTGAAGGGTTTTCAAACTCACTGAGTAATCCATTTGTACTAAATTGATACGTTTGTATCTGGTGACTGTCTGATGTGATGTGGGACATGGAGTTTAGACCAACCAAGGAGCAAGGCTGGTTAAGGTGAACCGTCATCAATGTTTAGGAGGGAAAAATACGTCCCACATTACATCAGCCAACAAATGCTTGGTTACATTCTAGCAATTGGTAAATTTCTATAAGAAATATAATGAATAATCGCAATATAGCCTTTTGATTAATATCTGTAACAAATATAATGAATAATCGCAATATAGCCTTTTGATTAATTAATGAGCTTTCCTAACAAAAATGAAATTATTTGTGACGTAAATAACGTCATATATACTTGTTTAAAACTTGAAACCCGACCGCTAGACCAAGAAACAGTGCAGCATTTAAGACGTAGCACAACAGGTATTAGTTAGGCAGTCTTGCAGTTTTATCAAGCCCATGGTCTTAACTTTAGCTTAATTACTTTTCAGACCTGAAATCGGAAGACTTGCTTGCATAGCTGATTACTCGAAAATTCCCAGAGTGTACACCTGCATTTGATGAGTAGATCTGATTATCGCTTTATGGCTTGCATTTTAGGTCAAAACAACTGTTTTAAACCAATAACAACCCTAAAGTCGGCCCGCATTTTTAAAAAATAACTACACCTTCTAAATCATCAGCATACTCTTACACTTTTTACAAGATTTACATAAAATGTCACTTACAGCCAACAGCCTTTTAAACATCATAGTTCAACTTGCCAACACATCGCCTATTAAAATCAAGTGTTAGTCCTAATAGGCAGATTAATATTTTTCATGATTATATACACTTACATAAATACATAAATACTGAGTAATCACTTTGCACTACTAAATTGATACGTTTAAATCTAGTGACTGTCCGATGTGATGTGGGACATGGAGTTTTGAACAACCAAGGAGAAAAGCTGGTTGTGTAAAACGTCATGACTATTTAGGAGGTAAAAAATACGTCCCACATTACATCAGCAAACAAATGCTTGGTTATATTCTACCATAAGTCAATAAAGCAAAATGGTACATTTCTGTCAGAAATACATATACTGAATAATCGCCATATATAGCCTTTTGATTAATTAATGAGTTTTCCTGACAAACATGAAATGCAGGCATATTTTTGAAGTAAAATCAACGTCGTATATACTTTTTTTTTTACTTGAAACCCGACTGCTCTGTAGATCAAGAAACAGTGCAGCATTTAAGACATGATACAGCAGGTATTTAGTGTTATCAAGCCCATGGTCTTAACTTTAGCTTAATGACTTTTCAGACTTGAAATAGGAAGACTCGCTTGCAGAGCTGATTTCTCAACTATTCCCAGTATACAACTGCATTTGATGAGTAGATCTGATTATCGCTTTATGGCTTGCATTTTTCGGTCAAAATAACTGCCTGTTTTAGACCAATAACAACACTGAAGTCAGCACGCATTTTTCATAACTAAACCATCTAAATCACCACTTAGTCTATTACACTTTCTACAAGATTTACATAAAATGTCACTTAAAGGCTACAGCCTTTTACACATCATCGTCCAACTTGCCGACACACCGCCTTTTAAAATCAAGTGTTATGCCCCAATAGGCAGGCTCATATTTCTCATGATAATATATACTTACATGTGTCACTAGGCACATTCAAAACAAATTGCATCTAAGATTAAAATCTTTTAACTCCGTATGTTACAATAATATTGGAGTTTTCAACAAATTCAAAACTTACAGAAAATCAAGTCTTAGAATTGAAAGTCCCAAACTTTTGGTAGAAGAAATCAATCAAGGATTATTTTAATTTAGGAAGCATGAATACTAGCAGATGACTTTTTGGGGGGTTTGTTCTGACGATTTTTTTTGTTATTGAAACAGGTATTGTAATTAAAACAATTAAATCATACTGTTATTTTGCATGAAATATTTTATAAGTCACCTTGTCTGCTTTATTTTTGCTAGATTTTTTAAAAACTAAAATTAAAAACAACTGCATGTTGCATGTGACCGAATTGTGTGTGTGTGAAACACTTGAACTGGGGAAAAAAGGAAAATTAGGCCGAAAAGAAGGGATTGGGTAAATTGGGAGTGATGTTGATCAGGAGGGAATTTAAAATAGGGATGACAAAATTTTTGTCTAAAAAAAAACAATCAGAATGTTTTAATACACAAACAAACACTTGAAAGGTAGAAACTAAAAAAAAATGGTTTGTTTAAAGAAGTGAGCACGCCTTCAGCACACATTACATAATAACTGACATCTTTCATAACATCGGTTAAGGGGCCATTCGGTATGCCGCCCCCGGCTCGATGTCTCGTCAGCGACACCACGAAGTAACACCCACGTGGACTTGAGTGCACGCTACGCGCGTATTTTACAGAATCGAGTGATTTTCGATTTCACGAAATATTTAAACACTCATGTTCACACACGCTGACGCACCCATTTTTGTTTTCACGAAGTAACATGCACTCATCTTTATTTCACAAGATTGATTTTTTTTTATTTAAATTTTGTGTAATCCTACAAAATTAATGATTAATTTCATTCCAGTCAAACGTTCAAAAACGTTGTTATCCCAATAGTATTTCCGTAACAGTGTTGAAAATTTGTGAAAACGAAAATCGTTCGCGCCAAGGTCCGATGTGCGCGCACACTTGAGTGAAACCAAAATGGGTCATTAAGCGGTTTTTACGAAGCAACACTGAAGTGGACTTCGTGGTGTCGGTCACGGTTTGTCTCATCCCCGCGCACAACCGGAGACAGAGATGGTCCCGTTGGACAATGGTTGATACTCAGACTTGTGCCCACCCTCTGTTCGGATTATTTTTTACGGTAGGCAAACGTGAGTTTTCATTGTTTAAATCCCTTTGAGAGCCCATGGAGATTCCTTCCTCCAATTGGAGAGCCTGAATTTGGTAAAATTTTCGGTTAGTGGTACAATATTTTTGTGACATTATAAGTCGGTGATACGTTATCAGTTGGTTACTACATTTAACAGCCTTCATTAACGAACCCTATCTGGCCTCATTGAATTTAACGGTCGTCAGTGTTAAGCCGAATGAAGCTTTCGTAGGCACTATCTTTTCTTTGCTTGTTATCGAGTTTGTTTATCTGACCTTCAGGGTCTGATGCTGAACTTGACGAAAAGAGTAGATCACTCGTAGAACTGGCTCTATCCAGACCGAGATCCTCCCGTGTGCCATTCATCGCAGTGGCATTCCTCTGTGGTGGCTGCTCCCAACTTTGCGACCTAGACATCTGCGATTGGTCTTGTTCGGATTTTATTTCGGGCACTTCTCCTTCCTTCTCGAACTTCATTGTACGTGTAGTTTTATTATTGTTGTTTGTTTCTTGGGGGTCGGGGCATATCTGGTCATCGATGACCTTGATGGCAAACCGCACATCTGGTCGGTTCAGACTGTGGAGACCACGCTTCAGCTCCTGCAAAGTGCGCCTGTTACCCATATCGTTTTCCCTTGACGTAGCAAAGAACGCATCGAGGACGAGCTCGGTGGGGCTTTGCGGAGTTAGAAACCCGCTGGCTGCTCTTGTCTCGATGCTTTTCACCCAGCCGTGCCCGTGGCCTTTCAATCCCGTCAGATTCTCCGGAAGGATGCGCCAGTCATGACCAATAGGACTAGGCTCATCCAGGCGCGAACAGAGCTCCCTTAGTGTATCTTCATCCAGCAGTCTGCTCTCGGCGACGGGACCTCGCAACTGTTCCCTGATCTGCTGACGACAGATTTCCTTGACTTGCTCCTCAGTGATCTAAGATCAAAAGAATGACCATATCAGCGTGCATAACCTTTATCTTCAATATACTTCCGCATTAATTGTCGTCTTTTTTGCTTGTTGGAATGTCCATTTAAAATTAGCAAATTAGATCCATATTTGGCAGAAGTTACACGTCGAGTCTAAACAAATAAAAGAATATGCTCTTCATCTCTAATGCTTTCCTTCGTGCAGGAATCACATGATTCAGATCTCTTCCACTCTTTTTTAACGGTTATGATTATGCGGTTTACACTAAAATTTTGAACACAGATTCAATAGTCAATCAACAATCACAGATAGAGTACACTCAATTATTTTATAGATAGTTATATAGACAAAATATGTTAAACTGGAGAGGTTTTTGAACGCTATTTGAGATATTCCTTGAATTTTGCTAAATACAGGGCACTGACATAAAATTTCAAATTCGGCAGTTTGGCGCCTGAGGAAAAAGAAAATACTTACTTGTCTGGGACTGGTTGCCTTGGCAACATTGAGTGAATAAGTCAGCGCGAAATCAACACTTTGCTCCTCACAACCCTCTTGAAAGACTTTTAGATAACCATCAAAGGGCGCCCTCTCTGTGGATCTTCGCATGCTAGCCTTGAATATTTTCGACGGGAACGTCGGCACGTTGTCTGGACCACACTCCCGCCACAAGATCGAGTGTTGAATTGCCTTGTATTAGAAAAGAATGTACAATGGATGTTTCATGGTGTTTCAACGACACAAATAGTTAATCAATGTGGGAAGGCGATTATTTGATAGAACAACCAATTCCGCCAATCGATGACTTCAATAATGACTTTGGAAATGATCACCCGACCGAATGAAAAGACAAACGAAACCGACCGACCAAGTTCAACCGCCTGACCATTGAACTGACTGACCCTCAAGACGAACAGATCATCCTGCTGACTTCCTTACCTGCCAACCACTTTTCGGCTCTGTGATTTCCCAACAATCTGCATCTGAGCACATCAGGTTAATCCTAACGTCCTTCTCCGGGTCGGTGCGCTTCACTGTCAAAGTTCCTGGCATATCAACCTGGATGAAGCCATTTCTTGTCTCTGTTGTCTGAATTTCCTTTAAGACACAAATTTCGAACAAAATCATAATTGACGCAGTTGTGTAAACGTATTTCAGATTGAAGTATGTTACACGTGATTGTTATCTGTGAATATTGGTGAGAATGCTAGTTGGTTACCATGATGACTGAAAATGCTACACCACGTTATTCAGGAGTATTCACGTCTGTATTCATTCATAGGATTTAAATTACATACACCTTGTGTCCAAAAAATTAGTCAAGGAAATAAAAACATTCATTGCTCCTAAATATTTTCAACTTCCATATGTTTCGGGCCAGGGGTACACGTATTCTTGACAAAGTTATTAAGAGATGTTTATTTTTTCAATTTATGAACAGGATTGAGTCAACGTATCTCTCGAAAACAATTTCACAGTACGATGCCAGTAACGGAAGACCGCCGTGTGATTATGCAAATGTTCCAATTCTCTTCGTTTTGGATGAAGAGGCCTTAACTATTTTTAACCCTTCGTAGATTATTGTTGTCAAAATTTGGGATTCATTGAAGCCGCTGGTTATAAAATGCATGGAGCTGCATGCTTTGACACCAAAATATACTTGCAGTAAAAAACTAAATTCTCACCTGAAGATTAGCCTTCGTGTCGTCAAATAGTCGAACACGAACCATGACGTTTGTATCGTTGATGTCTTTGATGAATACACATGCTACCATGTATTTAGCCTTGGGGTTTCCATAAGCTGTAAGTCCACAGAAGTGGCGCATGGTCATCAAGATGGATTTACTTTTGACGATCACATTTCCATCCTTGCCTCCTTCAATCGTCTGGTTTCCACTGGAGGAAGACTTCACACAGGTGAACTTGGTATCTACTGCGTCTTTTGCGCAGTGGGGTAAGATCAAGATGACATCCTTCCTGAATTCGAATCTTGAAGGCCCGCACTGGACATACGGAGTGAGGTGGTTGCGGCCTTGAACGTACATGTAGACTATCTGGGGAGATTCCTCAGCTGGTATGGCACCAGGTGGAATGTACAGATGGACACCCAAAGCGTCAACAGACAGAATACCACCTCGACTATCCAACACAGCGGCAGCAAAGTTGAGAACCTGAACAACGCGCCCAACTACATCATAGCCCATTCCTTTTGCTTCCTGACACATAGAGTCAAATAAGTCTAGCAAATCCTGTTTATCGAGGGTGACATTTTTGTGTTCGTCCATGGCTGCAGACTGGTCAGGACTGGACTCTTCATCAGAGAACACAGGGTCAGTTGAGGGTTGGGATGATAAGGTTTGAGCCCGGTCTGTTCCATGGGGCACTGAATGGCAGGAATCATCGAGGTCTTCGTCCGAAAAGCCTTGATTCGTAAAATGCTCTTTGCTGGTGTCGGCTTTCGGGGGGTGGTTACAGAAACACAACCACCGAAAAAAGCCCCTGAAAAACAGTACGGCATGTGGGTGTCGTCTTTCAGTGTTTTCAACCTCGTCGAAAGGTTCGGTCTGATCTTGGTCTATCCTAATGTAATTGTTTTCTTCGATGTCTGCGACTAGTTTGTTGTCTTCTACGACTTTTCCGCTGTTGTCTTTTATTTCGTTGTCGTGTTCTATGTCTTTGTTGAGGTTGTCATCTATGTCAATGTCTTCTATGTCTATGTCGTTGTGCCCTATGTCTATGTCGCTGTTGTCTTCTATGTCTTTGTCATTGTGTCCTTTGTCCATGTCGTTGTTGACTTCAATATCTATGTCTTTGTTTTCTTCTTTATTTAAATCGTTGTCTTCTTTGTCTATGTCGTCGTGTCCTATGTCTATGTCACTGTGGTCTTCTATGTCTTTCTGGCTGTGTCCTATGTCCATGACGTTGTTGACTTCTATATCTGTGTCCTTTTCTTCTTCCATGTCTAAGTCGTTCTCTACTATCTCTGAATCGTTGTCCTCGTTTTTGTCTGTGTCGTTTTTGTCTGTTTCTTTGTGTTCTATGTCTTTGTCGTTGTCTTTTATATCTGTGTCCTTGTTTTCTTCTATGTCGTTGTGTATTATGTATGGCATCGTGTCCTCTTTCTCTTCAATTGTATCGTTGCTCTGCATGCTGAGGCTTGACATAGGTATGCTGTTCACGTCAATGGCACTGTCATCACTCACACTACTCCAGCGAAGGGAATCCCTCCGCGCTTCGACGATACTGCTCTTCCGATTTGCAACGTAAAAATGGGGAAAAGAAGACTTTCTCTTCCCAGACTGACTGTATTGAAGTCGTTTACTTTTCGCATCAGAGTGCACATCTTGTAATGGTTCCTTATAAGGTGGATGCATGCAAACGCCGCTATCTTTCTGATTAGCTCTCTTGCTACTCCGAGTTTCTCCGGAAGGCCCTGGCTGACCGTCACCTGCCTGCACCTGATCAGACGATGCGTCGACCGACTCCATTTCCTCCGACTTAATCCTTTCAAACGCCAGTGATGTTATGCCGGTGGTCGGGCTACCGTCACTGTGTATCTGGCAGTAGGGTGCGTTACCCTGCGCTGATCGGCTGCGTTGGTCTTTGGTGTCCATCTTCGTCCCTGCCGGGCGATGCGATGATGATCACTGATATTTTTTTTGAAGAGATGAATATTTTTATCAGTACAATGTTAATATCTTTCCAAGTGTTTGTAAACGACTTTATATTATAAGAAGCATTCTACAAATGAGTGCAATCTGCGATAGATCCGAGCTTATGTGTACACTCAACAATTTCAACTGGAAATCCCCGTGAGTTTACTGCAAACACATTTTTCAAAGGATGAAATGGTTCAGCGCATAATTTGTATAGAAAACAGTACATGGTCGCCAGCGTTCCCTGTATATGCCGCGCGCGCTAACTTTGGATTCAAGGCCTGAATGGACCGAGGTGCGAAAGCGACTGCAATGAATCTGTGACGTCACGACTTGGTGAACGTTGACCGCATTCTCTAATTTGATGAATGTTGATTTACCTTTGCATTTAAATTCACTTGAAGCAAGGATGGAAATTCGTTGAAAATAATTTCCACGGCTTCCATATTTTTTTGAAAACTATGAACATGCCTCTCCATTTTTGCGACTCTAAAGGCAAGATTTCCATTGAAAGCCCTCCCTTCCAAAATGTTCAGTAATATGTTTCGACCTGCTTCCTATTGGGAAATGACCCCGAGTCTATCACTCGGGAAAAAAACAACAACAATAGCATACTCAACTAAATTTGGACCACTTTGGAGCAGTTCAAAAGCCTTTTTTCGAGACGGTTTAGTCCTATCCATCGCGAGGATATATGGTAAAGTCCTCGTTTCTCCGTAATCAGCACTCTAGGGGTAATAGTTTCACGTGACGCTTGGATCCTATTATTTACTTCAATCAAGTAGGGTATTTCAAATAAATGATTAGAGAATGTTTGCAAATGGTGTCGATTATCTTTAACGCCATTCCGAGCAGTTCGAAAACTTACCCGTTCGATGTCTTTTGCATGTCCCGGCTCTGCTATAGTACGAACTGAAGGTTTTTTTAAATCGTCGTCGATGTTACAATGAGTAAGGAAATATGCTGCTCACTATATACCGGGGTCAAAGATGTTTGTTCTTTTGTGTATGGTATTTTTCTTTGTCAGTATTGTGGTCGATCACTGAAGCATGCTTTTTTTGACAGAATCGAAAGCAAAATCGGTGTGATATTGTGACGTTATGGGTTTAAAAATACAGGATGGGAATTTGTAAACGAGTTGATGTATTTTTTAAAAAAATGGACAGAATTTAATACTTCGGTTAAGGAGAAATTTGGACAACTGTATTGAAATGTTAAATCGGAAATAGATTTTTCAATAATTTGGACCTTTCCTAATTTGGCGGGGTGCGTTCGCACTTGGCGACATCACATTACCTCTCAAGGACACAGTCTACAAGTGTAGTTTTACAATCGGATAGATAAACCATGACATCCAAAAACAGCTTGACACATTATTTCCCTTATTCTTTACAATTACTTTTCAAACCAGAAAAAAGGTTTTTACCGGACTTATTAACCCAGACAGCTTGAGTCGGCCTGCTACATTTTCCACGAAATATAAGTGTAGCAGAAAACTTACCCGTTCGATCGTCTTTTGCATGTCCCGGCTCTGCTAGTACGAACTGAAGGTGTTTTAAATCGTCGTCGATGTTACAATGAGTAAGGAAATATGCTGCTCACTATATACCGGGGTCAAAGATGTTTGTTCTTTTGTGTATGGTATTTTTCTTTGTCAGTATTGAGGTCGATCAAAGAAGCATGCTTTTTTTTTGACAGAATCGAAAGCAAAATCGGTGTGATATTGTGACGTTATGGGTTTAAAAATACAGGATGGGAATTTCCAGAAAAATCGGTATTTGTAAACGAGTTGGTGTATTTAATAAAAAATGGACAGAATGTAATACTTCGATTAAGGAGAAATTTGGACAACTGTTTTGAAAGGTTAAATCGGAAATAGATTTTTCTAATAATTTGGACCTTTCCTAATTTGGCGGGGTGCATACGCACTTGGCGACATCACATTTCCATCCAAGGACACAATCTGCATTAAACAAGTGTAGTTTTACATTCGGATGGATAAACCGTGACATCCAAAAACAGCTTGACACATTATTTCCCTTACCCTTTTCAATTACTTTTTATACCCGAAAAAGTGTTTAAACGGACGCATTAACCCTGACAGCTGATGTCGGCCTGCTACACTTTCCACGAGATATTCGAGTGTTGTAGAAAACTTACCCGTTCGATCGTCTTTTGCTAGTCCCGGCTCTGCTAGTACGAACTGAAGGTGTTTTAAATCGTCGTCGATGTAGTTACAGCCCGATAGTCTGAAGGTTCGATAGTCCGAAGGTTCGATAGTCCGAAGGTTCTTTAGTCCTAAGGGTCATTAGTTCGAAGGTTCGCTAGTCCGAAGGTTCGATAGTCCGAAGGTTCGATAATCCGAAGGTTCGATAGTCCGAAGGGCGCATTTGTCCGAAAATAGAATGAGGTTAATTAATCCGAAGGCTCGATAGTCCGAATCGACGATAGGGTTCGATAGTCCGAATTGACAATAAGGTTCGATAGTCCGAATTGAGAATAAGGTTCGATAGTCCGAATGGGCAATACAGTTCGTCAGTATGACACTTCGGAGTATCGGACCTTACTGTTGATTCGGACTATCGGAGCTTATTGTCGATTCGGACTATCGGACCCTATAGTCTTTTCGGACTATCGAACCTTTTTGTCAATTCGGAATAATGAACCTTCGGACTATTGAAACTTATTTTCGTTTCGGACTATTGAACCTTCCGACTGATTAACCTTATTCTAAATTCGGACTATCGAACCTTTGGATTAGTGAACCTTCGGACTAATGAACCTTCGGCTTAATGAACCTTAGGACTATTGCATCAAATGTTCGGATTCTCGAACCCTATTTCATTTTCGGACTAACGAACCTCCTCTTATGGAAATTTTGTGCAATCGGACTATCGAACCTTCGGACTATCAGACCTTCGGACAATCAGGCGGCCCCCGTCGATGTTACAGTGAGGAAGGAAATATGCTGCTCACTATATATATATATCGGGATCGATCAGTATTAAAAAGATGTTTGTTCTTCTGTATGTGGTATTTTTCTTTGTCAGTATTGAGGTCGATCACTGAAGCATGCCCTTTTTTTGGCAGAATCGAAAGCAAAGTCGGTGTGACTATGACATTTATGGGTTTAAATACAGCCTTGGTAATTTCCAGGAAAAAAATATCGGTATTGGTAAACGAATTCTATGTATTTAAAAATAGACAGAATTTAATACTTCGGTTGAGCAGAAATTAAATCTTTAACTTTTCAAGACATGAAACCGACTAGGCCTTATCTTTATTTGAAGAAAAGAGTTCACTTCTTTCATTAAAATCGAGTGTTCCCCCCCCCCCCCCCCCTCCATAAAAAGAAGCGCTGGCGCTGTAATAAAGAAACCTACAGCGAGAAGAAATTATCACTTTTAAAAGTGAAAGGAGGTCCCGAAAATTCTCTAAATCTCTCCACCCCCCCCCCCCCCCCGGCAGTGGCGCACCCAGGGGGGGGGGGGGGCCCTCGGGTGGTTGAGATTCCCCCCAAGAAGTTGTCAATTTTTTTTTTTTAGTCCCACGATTTGACCGTGGTGATATGTATGTGGCCTATTTTCGAGTATTATAATAGGGGTATAAATTGCGCCACAAACGTCACAATAGTCCGTACCCCCCCCCCCCCCCCCCCCCCCCCCCCCCCCCCCCCCCCCCCCACACACACACACACACACACAAAACCCTTTTTTTTTCTGCGGCCAACAATTGTGGGCAACATTTTTTTGAACAAAATTCAAATTTCTATAAAAAAAAAATTGTGTGAGCCCACCCACCCCAAGCCAAATCCACTGCCCCCGGCGGCCCCCCCCCCCGCCCCAAATGTCGGCCTGGGCGAGAAGCGAACCCAAAGGAGTAAAGTCACAAGAGATGAGAGTATACTTGAATTAACCACCATAGGAGGACGCACGTCGAAACGATGAATGTCCTCTGCTAGTGCGTCCGATGGTATATAGTTGAGGTGTGTTTCGAACTGTGCATAATCAACACTACTGATTGTCACCCACCTTTTTTTTTGAAAACGGAATTTCGACTTTACAAACCGCAGGGAATGGGCGTTATTATGATGCGGTTATTATGTACCTGCCGATGCAAACACTGTTTTAATCTATATTTATCTCTCTGGATTTGGATGGCATCGTGATTTAGATAGATTTCTAAAGACTGACTTGTGGTCTATTTTACTATGCCCCTTTGGGAATCACGACTTGTGTCTGCACACAATATCCTACGCTCTTGTATTACATACCTGCATCCCGAGAAAAAAACCGCAAAAACAGAGATTAACATAACAGTTGTCCTCGAACATACATCATTATTTTGTTAAGAACGGTTCTCGAACTTAAAGTCTGTGTGCTTAGTGTATTGAGAATGAATACCAAAATGACAATAGGAAAGACAATGCCTAGTTTTGAGACAGAAAGGTATAAAGTACTACCGCGCGTACGGGTCTATCATTATTGACATGAGATAAACCTTGATAGGAACCTTCTTTAATTTTCCAAGGTTTGCATTATCAAAGGATATTAAATTACATTGGGTGTAATTTGAATGTAATGTCCACTGTATTTTATAATTGATTCCCTTACTAAATGTTCATTAGACCTACTCTGTACGGTCCAAACAATCTACGGTTAGATTTACCACCGCGGTGATTAAATTATTATAAAACGTTGGATGTTGTGGGACGTACCAGAAAGTCGGTAGTTAAGCCAACTGGCAGGGAGCCGAAGATTCTTCTCGCATACTGAATATACTCTAGTACCTGCTTCTTTGCTGTGCTTTTGTACCAGTGTTTCAAAAAAAGAGTCAGACTACCCAATTAAGCTATGAAATGACAATCTTTATAAAACGTACACTTTTTTGAGACAGCCTTATTTATTTGTGAGGCACCAAGTACTTTGGTTAATAAAATATTTCACACCTGTTAAAAAAAATAATTTTAGGGATTACTTTATGGGTTATTGCGTGAACTTTGTGAATTTTGTCTTAGCTGTACGACAAAATAATGATATTGTGATTTAGTATTGGGTCTTACTCTGAATTCCATGGACTTGCTTTTAAGTAAAATGTAATCGTAAGGACGACACAGTAAAATGAATATTACATACAACAGACTTTTCAATAACTCCCCCCCCCCTCGATGACGCCTTGAATGTCACAACTGCATATCTACGAATAATGAAGTCAATGAGTCTGTGAAACAATAATGAAACACTTGACCAGTACATTGACTATATATACGATACGGGAACTCGTGACGAGTTACTAGAAGTTGGACAATTACGCACTATTATTATTACGAGTAACATGTAAAGGTAACTACAGAGCTTGGAAACATGGTTACTTCATAAAGAAACATAGCTTCATCATTACAGTTACCACTGAGTACATGAGAATGAGTTTTTACACTGCATGCTGAGTTAAACCGAGTAAAGAATTGAGTAATTGAGTAAATTATACCATACAAATCAATTCATGGTGAAATGGCTGCGAGTATTGCGATGGAAAGTGTATGAGCTAGTTAGAGCCAGTTTACTCGTGACGCCATACGTATAGCACTGACATTTAATTAATCACTGTGTGTTAGTGACTGGGCGGAGCTTAGGAGCTTCGTGAGTTGCTGCACATACGTGATTGGTTAACCAGTCCCATAGGTTTATTACACGCACGTGTTTGTTATAACGTGAATGCAAAGACTGAATGTCTGTACGTACATGTACCTGGGTGGTATAAAAATGCGTGCCTCGAAAAAGTGCTCTGTTGTCGGGTTGAGTTGTGATTCTAGTCAGGGTGACCGTAAGGTCATGACTAAATTCTGCTCTATGCACTTCAAAAATCTGTCAGATTTTTCAAAAATCTGCCAAATTCCCCAGAATTACTCGAAATAGGCCATAAACACTTTAAAATCACATGCAGGTGTTGTAATATTGCTTTAATTAATGTTCCAATTACATTTTAAACAATCAATAACCACATAAAAATTATATGAAATTGCGTAAATTTCAGGCAAAATGCGGTTGTGTCACGACGAAATCCAGTTCCCAGTGAACCTTTTGCAAGGGTTTGCTTGAAAAGATTGAAGCTTTTGTAAACAAATGTACATTTTCTGTCAAATAACCATTTTTGCAGAATTCTGCAAGAAATCTGCCAAAAAATCCATTCTGTCAAATTTTCTGTCAAACTCGTTTTTTAACAAAAAATCTGTCAAAGTTAGCCGAACATCGGCTAAAACGGTCACTATGATTCCAGTCTGTCTAGTATTGGGCTTAGCTCGTGTCTAGAGATTTAGCGGTAGGGCATAGCTGCTACAGCGGGTAGAGAAGTAGGTAAATTACTTGTACTATGCTATACTCTGCGTATGTGTAATTGCTTAGGCGATTTGTGCAAATTCTGTTTAGCTTTGCTGGGGTTGCAGTGGTATGTTTAGCTGAGGTATTGCAAGTACAAAGCTGTTATAGCAGGCTCAGACTGGAACCTTAAGTGCTTAAAACGATGCAAAAGAAGATCAGTCCAACTTTACTCACACTTTAGCCAGCAAATTTCTCCAAAACTTTCACTGGGCAAAGAAAAGGTCCTCAGTATTTCACCAACCAAGTCTGAAGACTCAATTCAATTTTTAAGGGAGACTTTTCATCAATATTTTGCAGTGGCTTGCACAAGAAAGGGAAGTCAAGTGATTTCAAAATGAGGCTAAAGATCGACTTGTACATGTCCATTTCATGGTCCAACTGTTTGATAAGACTGACTTCTTCATTCATTGCCATTAGTCTGGAGCCTGACTATGGAGAAATGTGTAGAAATAGTGACCTAGTACCCGACATCCTAGATTTTTTTTTTTTTTGCACAGTCAGCTGACAGTAGATTAATGCAGTACTGAAACGGTATTGGACTGATTGTGTCATGTGCCAGTCTATTTTCTTGAATTGCAAGTTTTCAATACCTTAAGTTTTGGGACTCTCATACACAGTATTGAGAGTCCCAAATTTTCGGACTATAGCAGGCTGTACCGTTGCGAATACTGGCTTTACTACGGCGTAGCGAGTACTTCGCTAGTCGGACTGTACATTGCTAAGCTGCTGCGCATTATTTAGGCTTTTGTGTGCTTGTGATGCTGTGTTTTTGCTAACTTAAGGAAGGACCCAGTTAATAAATTAACCCTCACAATTACATCCTAATTAATGTACATGATTATTGTTGAATACATTATGATTGTTGTTGTTGTTGTTTTAGTCTACCAACAATTCTGCTTCAGGTGTTTTTGTTTACAGGATTATTGTGCAATTAATTAACAGAGGTAAATAATTAACAATCATTCACAATCGGGCGGTAGATTTCCACCAAAACGGATCTGCACCCTTAGCCTTGAAGGTCGCAATGAGTGATCTCTCGTCTAGAGAAGAGCCTTGATTTGGAAAGATTGTCTTCGCCCCAATAGAAGTCAGACTTATCCTAACAGACTTGGATTGGCCCGAGTAGTTCCCGCCACAGTATTGTTAGCACATGTATTTAGCGATGCATTGGTGGGCTCGGGTGGGATTCGAACCCGGGATTCGTCTGAAAAAGGTGAATACAGACCTGAAAAATTGCCTGGGTTCATTTTACCCAAGCAATGGTGAAAACTGCAACTCCCCAAAATTGGGTTATGTGTTTGGGTTATAATTTCTGTTAAATTCAACCACAACTTGTGGTCATACCAGACCAAATTTAATTTGGTCTTGTATGACCACAATTTTTGGTTGAATACCAGATTTTTACGTGAAACAGCGTAGGCTTATAGCAACCAGTGGAATCTCAGAGGATGAGGTGATGTTGCCTCTCATCATATAATAGGTGTCCACAATATAATTATATCGGCACTATATATATCATGGCTGCTACCACAGCCAAAACATCAGTGAGCTGTTTAGTGAAGCTACTGTATAATGTAAGTCAACTACATCTAGCTTGCCAAGCATGGTTATATCATTTTATTCAGTGATATCAACTCCTGATAAACTCATTATTATACGCACTTGGCATCAGTTAATTTAGCCATCTATACGCGTCTGACTGCAATCTTCAGAATTTCTTTTTTCGACCGGTCGACCCAATTTCAAAAAGGCAAAAAAACCACATGAGTGCAAGTTATGACAAATTATACCGAAAACAGTTGCACTTTTGTATACGTGCAAGTTGTGGTTCACACTCACCTTGCACGTATACTAAAGTGCCACTTTTTTCAGTACCATTTGTCATGAATTGCATAATTTTGTACACATTATCACTGTTTTGGGCCAATCAAAGAGTATGGCTGGATTGCTAAGGATTTTCTGTACTTATCAGTGACATTTGAGCAAGATGTGCTCAGTAGTTTTTGAGTTAGACAAACAAGTATTAAGGGGGACTTTCTTTTTTGGTTGAGTGTATATCATAACACTTTAACACCTTTTTTCACTTTGAATGTCAGGATTAACATAGAGAATGTGGCATATAATTTCCATTCTTCACAACGTGTTTGTATTTAGCGCATAATCTAGCTAAGTATAGCATAAATGCTCAAATATCCCTGAACATTTGAAGATTCATCTCTGAGCAGCCCTCAGCCGCAACTAAAAAATATATAGGCTACATATACAACCGATTCTCCACAATCGATATCCTCAAAGTCATCGGCATATCAGGTCACCAATACGTATTAATACAATTCATAACAGAGCCACGCCATATTAATGGGTTTAAATAATATAGGTGCCTAATTATCTCCAATGTCATCGATACGTGTTCTGCTCCACAAAATGTACTTGTATTTCGCTCCGATTCCTCACTCAAATTTCCCTTAATATAAAATATTAAATAATTGTTCAGGTTAATATGATACGGTAGGGAGCATGTTAATAATCGCATAAAAGCCACAAATTTAAGAAGTTCATAATTTACAATTAGAAAAGTCCACTCTAAGAATTCGTGGTAAAAATCATTACTAAAGTAATGTAAGTCATACAATATGGCATTCTCACTGCAAAAATACATATTCGTTACAACACAAACTCCAAAATGTCAAACCTCAAGTATTCGATTTGCAGAATAAATGTGTCTTCGTATTATTTTTACCCCACTAACCTTTGTAATTTGTTTCACGACTGTTGTTAAAAACACAGGACTTTTTCCTTGGACGACCATCCATTTGGCAAATCAAATAAAATTATCAAGTGCAGATAAGCTCGAATAGGCGCTATCTTTTCGCAAGGAGTAGGATCCTGCGGAGTTGAAACGTTGTTTCAACACTTGATCATTGATAACATGGAGATCTACACTACTACGTGGTTGCCACGAAGCCATGGGTGACCCATGTGTAGGCATATGCCTTATTTGCCTACATTGATCTCCGCTAGGTAATTCCCCTCTCTCTCCCATTTCCTGTCTCGTCATATGACAATGATCCCTCCGTGTACTATTGTTGTTAGGGTCCGGGTCATGTCCAGCCATAGCTGTGATCCCAGCCCCCTCACAACCCTTTAACTGATGATCAATGGCACTGACGGCAAAATGCAAATCTTGCCGGTTCAATCCGAGGAGACCCTGTTTCAGGTCCCGCAAGGTGTTACCCTTACTCTTTCGAGACTTCTTGGACTCTGCGAAGAAAGCGTCTAGCACGAGCCCGGTGGGACTCTGACGCTCCCGTTGAGCTCGCGTCTCGATGCTTGTAATCCAACGGTGACCACGGTCGTGGATTCCCCGTAGGTTCTCTGGTAGGAGGCGCCAGTCATGAGCTACGGGGGCCTCCACGTCCAGCTCGTCGCACAGCCGCTGATAAACTCCTTCAGTTAACAGCTGCATGGGCTCGTGGCGGGTTGTTGGTTGTTGGTATATGTACCCTTTCATCAGTTGCAATAGCTCATCAAACGACCGAGGTACCTGTTGCGAAAATAAAATAATGTATTCAATATTGTGTTAAGCCCTTCACGGACGTCAGTGTTGCCACTAAGTGATTGTGAGAAAAAAGGTCACTGGATGGGGACTCGAACCCACGACCTCCTGCAAACTAGCTCAGACGTCTTACCACTCGACCATCGAGCTTGCTGGTGTCAACTTGGCGATTTGAATCAGGTATTATAGTAATTATTTTGAATATACATGTAAATTTATTTTACGATGGTAATCAAGAGTCAAGAGAAGCAAAGCAACAAATATTGCACGGGAAAAGTTTGTTTGAAATATCAGGTACAAAAGGTATATGGTAATGTGAACTCTAATAATTATAATAAGCCAGGGCCAAAAGGTTCGAGTTTAGTGCCAACAATTTGAGTCTTAATTCTTTACAATAAATTCTTTGCTTTGGTAACTCACGTTTTGATGGAAAATGCCACGGCGTGGCATCTTCACAAGAAAGTCCACACTGTATTGTTCTCTGTCTCCCTGAAACACTTTCATCTTCGCTGTAAGTCGCTCCCTTTGCTGGGATTTACGCCTCACGTGAAACAGCTTGGACGGGGTAGCCTGGGCAATGTCTGAGCAAGCGGCGTGCCAAAGATCCGAAAGTCGGAACGTCTGCAAAGGACGTTTCAAAACAACGTGCAAAGGATGAAGCAATTAAACAAATCCCGAAAACTCATTTAAATAAAATATTTAAGACCTTGCAAACGAAGCGTTCGAGGTTCGAGGTAGTAGCCTCACCTGTCGACCGCATACAGGTTCAGTGATTTCCCAGGACTCCGAAACTAACGTCAAAGTCCCCTGCACGTCACCAGTGCGTCCTACCTCCATCCTCTGTACTGGGTCCGCCAGAAAAAAGTCATGGATCGACTCGCTTTCCTCGACTTCCTGTGGGGGAGGGGAGATCGTGAATAATACACAGACCAAACACGGCGACCCCAGAGAAGATTAGGTTAGAGGCATACAATTATAGGATCAATTGTACTTCGTGTATTTTGTTCTTTTCCAATACCAACAAATTTAAAAGAAACCCCCCAAAAAATGTTGAAAACAACCTGCTGAAGATTACAGCTCCGTGGATATTACCTTCTTCAATATAAACAGTGATAAATCAAGCTCAACCTTCGATTATGAATCACGATTTCCTCATGCAACTTGCTATTTTAAGACATAAGTCAATTGATGGATCTTTAAAATAATTTCACATTTCTTGATTTCTCTTTCTAAATTGTACAAAGCAGAGGGAATAAATTCACGGGGTGTTGATTTCCTGTGCGGTCTTTAATTTAAGTACCCTTTTTGACAATGATAATTATGGTAGGTATACTTTTGGGATGAATGCAAATTATCCTTACTTGTATTTTCTTTAAAAAATAAATATATTCAGGTCATTCTTCTGAAAAGGCCCATTTTACCTACAATAACTGAATCAACATTTGTTGGAAGAAGTTTTAAGCAGATGAGTTGCAGAAAATGTTTCAGAAAATGTTGAGTGTTAACGTGACACACAATTACTTACTTTAAGATTAGACTCTATGTCGTCACAGATTCGAAGCCGTATCGTAGCTCGTCCGGCTGGGATGTCCTCGTTGATGAACGTGCATACCAACATGCTCTTTTCCAACACGGGAGCACATGCTGAATAGCCACAAAAATGATTCATGGTCATGGTGATGGAATGGTTATCCACATGTATCACTCCATCTTCACCATCACGGATCTCCCGAATGTATCCTCCCGACTTGGATTTGGTGAAGGTGAAGCGGTATTTGGCCGCATCCTTTGCGCAGTGTGGATAGGTCAAGAAGACATCTTTCCGGAAGCGCAGTGTGGAGGGACCACAGTGGACGCATGGTGTTAGCTGGTCCCTGCCACTGCTCAGGTTACCTTCTACAAAGACATAGACTAGTTGCGGCGGTCCATCAGGTACAGCACCACAAGGAACATAGAGATGAACATCCAGGTCATCAATGGACAGATACCCACCTCGGCTGTCAAGCATAGCTCCAGCAAAGTTGGAAATTTGAATGACGCGCCCGACTGTGTTAATACCCATCAGCTTTGCCGCTCGATACATCCTATCAAAGGCTTCCAAGTAATCCCTTTTCTCAAGATTTACATTACTGCCGTAACGCACGGGATCTAACTGAGCATCGAGTTCAGCAGAAGGTTGCTCTAATTCCAACGATGGTTCTGAGGAGGCTGCACAATAAGCATCATTGACCGCTTGAGCTGATTGTGTAGAATTCAGGACCCACTCCTTATCAGACACAACAACCGCTGGTGAGGGGACACACATGCCTGCCACGCTTAGGACCTTCCGGATAAAAAGCTTATCCAGAGGTATATCAGGTACAGATGACCTTTTCATGGATACCTCCGTTCCTGGGTACAATGACAAACCATCTTGCCGACTCACATCACTATTGACCCTCGTATGTTCATTTCCATCGTGTACGCCAAACCCGGAACTCAAGGAGACGTTGCTCTGTAAGCTTCTTGTCTTAGATAGGACACTGTCTAAGCTGCTGTCACTTCGGCGGTGGGTCTTCCTGTCTACTTCGACGGAAGGGCTGTGGTAGTCACTCCCTTTTCGGCCATCACCTAAGTAGGCGTATGAACGAATGTCACGTTCGCTCTTTGCGACCCATGACGAGTCGGAGTGATCATGACTAGCAGCCACTGCTTGGGACTCCCATTTCATAGGATCAGGAATCAATAGGCTCGGTGAAGATATGCAGTAGCCTTGGTTGTATTGTTCGATAGATCTGGAATCTGGAAATTGCAACCCCTTAGTTTGGGACCATCTGCTGCTTTCTGCAAATTTTCCGGAAGCTCCCGCTTCAGAGGGTGTCGGGGTAGCATTTTGACCTCGTTGGTGCAGCTCTGGTTTCTCACCCTCCGCGCCAACTGTGTACCTATCACCAACGGGACCCATACAGAAATCGCTCTTGTAACCATGGCCGAGATTTGTTTGAAGGGGATCGTGAAGGAGATCCGAAGACCCTTTTGCATTGTAATCTCCTTCTGTTTCGTCAGCTAGCGTGAAAGAGGACAAAAACCCCGAGTCTCTACGATCACGGTCCATGATTCCTTCACCGATGCCGATGTCATTATCCTTGTAAAACAACCTGCCTGAAACGGTTGATATAGGCTCTGGTTGATGCATCGCAACCTGAACATGGATTAATCAGTTGAAGTTACATAGGATCACTTGCTTTAGTATTTGGTTTTACGTCAGAAGCAACAAACATGCTAAAAATGTTGATTAAGCAAGGTGCGGGGCTCACAGTACTATACATTTTTAAAATGATTTCCGTGGCAAGCACTTCGTATTCAAAAGTTTCCGTTGCATATTTAATATTTTGAATTGCATCCTCTGATGTACAACTCTTTTGACTAGGAATAAGATTCAGTTTGTAAGCCTACGTGACGTCTAGGTCTTATGGGAAATTTTCGCAATATTTAACGAATAATAGTGTAATATTAAATTGTTCATACAAATATCAAATTTTACAAATTCCTGCATTCACACTTTTTCAAACCATATTTCGTGATTGATGAACGATACTATTTTATATATACAGGTGAAATAGTTTCACTGGTATCTAGTGCGTATCCTTCCTTCACTTATTTCAAGAGGTTCGTTTCCGGGTAATTACATTGGGCTTGTCTTTGACGGGGCTGGGTTAGATTTGTTTGGGTTGGATTGGGTTTCGTTGAATTGGATTGTGTTGTGTTGGGTTGGATTGAGTTTGTTTCTGCATTCAATAGGGGACGTTGAACAATAGAAGACAATAGGGTCATCAATTCCAAAGAGTTCCCCAATTTGGATTCGTGTACAAAACATATGGCAGGTCTTGCTTAAAAGTTAAGGTACAAACAAAAGAGGGACAATAGCGGGTCCCCGATTGCAGGCAAATACACACTTGCTAGGGTTGGGTTGGGTTGGGTTGGGTTGGGTTTAAGTAGGACAGGTTTGAGCTGGGTTGGTTGAGTAGGATTGAGGTGACTTGGCATCGCATGAGTTAATTGGGATGGGTTGGGTTGGGTTGGGTTGGGTTGGGTTGGGTTGGGTTGGGTTGGGTTGGGTTGGGTTGGGTTGGGTTGGGTTGGGTTGGGTTGGGCTGGGTTTGGCTGGGCTGGGCTGGGTTGGGCTGGGTTGGGCTGGGCTGGGCTGGGCTGGGTTGGGTTGGGCTGGGTTGGGCTGGGCTGGGTTGGGTTGGGCTGGGTTGGGTTTGTTTTTGCTCTCAATAGGGGACGTTGAAAACTAATAATGATAATAATAATAATAATAATAATAATACTCTTAACTTACAAAATATCGCTTTACAAAATATCAAAGTCAAAAATTATCAAAAGGATTAGTTTAAAATATTTACTTTTAAAAAGAAATGTCTTACGCTGTGATTAAGAAAAATACACTTCGTTAATGTTTCGTGAATAAAATGAACGTCTGGAACAGAGGACAATAGGGTCCACAACTCCTGAAGGTCCACAATTGACAATCGATTACAAAAGATATGGGCGGTCTTCCTAAAAAAAAAAAGGACAAACAAAAGGGGAACAATAGGGGGTCATGAATCGAGGACAGAAACCGAATCAAGGACTCCTCGGTTGGAAAACATGTACAAAACCAATGAGAGCTGTTGCATAAAGTTGAAGTACAAACATCGGTAAGGGAAGAGGAACAAAAGAAAATCCTCGATTTACACTATAAACAAACGTTAGTGGTTTGGTTTGAGTTTGATTTGGTTGGGTAAAATTCAGTTTATAGATTGGGTTGGTCGGGTCAGACTTACTCTCACCTCAGTATGTCTGCTAGCTCCTGAACGTATTCCTCGTGATCCAGAACCCATGGCTTTTCCGTATCTGGACTTGTCATCCCTGACGACAGCATCGTGTTTAGACTTGGTATACCTGCGAACGTACTCCTGATGAGCTTCAATGCCTTGGCCGAGATGACCGGGTCCTCTTCGGACTTCATGATCGCTGCATGCTTTCGAAGATGCCCTGGACCTATACCCCGAATCCCCCGAATACGTCCGCTGGTGCATGGGGTCATCGATATCGGTTCCTTCAGGACCGTTAAATGGCAGCACACCCGAGATGGGTGCCAGTCGGTGTCTGTAGTCGCTCATTATCACTGCTCGACGCTTTTTCTGGTGTTGATACGATCTGTAAACAAGCGAATGCCGACAATTTGCTGGTAAATGCATGGGCATCGTCTGAAATGTCGTTTGCACAATCAATTTGGTGGGATTCGAGTGTGAGGAGTCGACAACTGAGGATCCGGGTAAAAACAAAATTGCAGAGGGCCGGGGCCGGGGGGCGCACAATTTGAAGCATTTCACCGAGCAGCCGGTTGCCAGCAAATTCGAAAAGCCAGGCGGGGCGGGAGTAGGGGAATGGTCCTCATTGACACTAGTTGGCGCACACACCCTCACACAGGCATAGAAGTGGGGTACTTCCTTACGTCGTGTGCCCGGCAGAAGGGCATATATGCATATGCCCTTATGCAATAGCGCGTAATGACTAAAATGTTCCCAGCAAAAGGGCATATGCAGAAAACTGCCTCCATTTTAATGAGATTTAAACATTTTTGTCAGAAATTAAGGTGTATAGTTGTTCCAAAACTTATGACTCATACGTGTGACAAATTTCAAATTCGTACGATTTATATTACGTGTGGGAGAGCATATGCGCGCGGGGGAACAATGGGGCCTTTCAATGCAATTTTCTTGAAAGTGATTTTTGCGTCAGAACGCTCATATGCCCTTCTGCCGGGCACCCGACGCTTTGTTCTCGTGTACTAAAATTTTGCAATGTCGCGCACTTATTTCAAAATGCTCTTATTTTAACCAGAATTAATTTCCTGGGCTGAAATTCGGACTTAATATCCCTTTTCTAAAACTCTTCCATTTGCGACTAATCAACCCACCTTGGAAATTCCTAGTTTTCGAGTAAAATCCATATCAGTCGAACCTCGTTAGTACAAACTCTGTTAATACAAAATTCTGGTTATAACAAACCTTCAGCCTTAGTCCCGACTGTGCATTTATGTGCACAATGAATGGGACTGATGTTCCTCTTAATACAAAATTCTGATATAACAAACAATTTGGCTAGGTCCGAACGAGTTTGTATTAACGAGACTCGACTGTATCTATTTCGTGACAAACTTGTGGGGTACCACTTTAGCACCCCACAAGGTCACAGAATGGACTTGTGGGGTACCTCCCACTGTTCCGGTACCATAAGGCAATGTTTATACGTTCACTTTTCCAGTTTTCGATGAACTTTTACTGAGTTTTCTGCCTTGCGAGGCCGTGAGACAAATATCTAGGCCTATCCTGTTTGATTTTTTTGCCTTGCAAAGCGAAAAAAACTCACGATGTGCGGTCAATCTGAGCTATTTGCTGAGCAAAAACGATAAACTAGCCAATGAAAGCATGACGATCCTTGTTTTTCAGTCGCGTGATTTAAAAAATTGGGACAAACGCCAGCAGCCCTTAGAAGATTTGCACACAATTATCTTAAAAAGCACGTGTACAGAGTACGTGATTTCATTGGCCAGTGAATCTTTTTTATCTACGTGCTAAGCAAAGGCCTCGAAATTGACTTTTGCTCAGCACGTATACAGCTCTCGTGTGCGGCGGTCTTAAGAGTCACCTTTCTACGGTTTGGAACTCATCGAAGCGTGTACATCATAGTCACATCGAACTCATTTGCAGAATCATTTACAGTAAGCAACTTCGGTGTTCCAAGTGCACATGAATGTTCGAATTAGCGATGGCTGCATGGGAAGATGCCGGGTTAGGAACAGGTTCAATACCTATGATGATAGTTTTTAAAACATTTCTTTGTCTCTTCTATCTCCAATATTTCGACATTCAAAAGAATCCTTTAATTTTGACATTATGACCATGAGGAATACATGAAGCAGAAATGGTAGACCTTTTAAATGTCTTTTTGTGATGTCTTAAACTATTTCCATGGTCATTCTATATCGGTGAATGTAAAAATTGACCTGATGTTTGAAGGACCCCTAGAAAAAAGCGCAACATTTGTTTATAACGTTCTTGAATCGTTTTCTAACTGGATATATATAACAAAATTAAAAAAAATTATATAAAAAAAGAATTCGTGATCGAAAAAGTTCCGTTTCTGAAATTGCAAGGTTGAAATATCGGTTATGATGTTGACATTCTCACACTGTATAAAAAAAAACATGAATTTTACAGAGACATTATTTTTCACTAATCTGCCCTGTAATTAATTTTACAGCAGTTTTGAGGATTAACGTTTTCGTACTCCGTCGTGTCCGATGTAAACAACCGGGTTTTTTTTTCCGTCTTTTCTCGGGAACGGCAAGACATAACGTTGGTTTCCTTTCAACCAGATGTTTGAAATAGGATAAGAAAACAATCCAAAACATGAAACTGTCGGGGATTTCAGGACTTAGTGCCCCTTTAAAGGGGCATTACGCCATCGCAAAAATACCCAAGAACGCCCACTTTTCAAAGGATGGATGTGTGTAAGTTAATATCCTACTTTTAAATGCTCTTTCCATTAACAACGTTTCATCTTGTCACGAGCCCGATTGGGCGCATTCCAGGCTGTAGTTATCCGTTAGGAGGAACTTCCGCCAACAACTTCTGGTAGCTCTTAACCTGTGGGTGCGGCAACGCCGGGTGCAAACGTCCTCCCCCCCCCCCTCAACATCCCATCCCAACAACATTGTGTTGTAAAATTAGCACTGCAGAGTCAAGTAACGTGTTCTGTCAATATACATGTATAATTATATTTCATTTTAAAACACATCATTTAACCACTGCTTATACAGTAAAGTTGTGGGCGTAACCTATAATGGGCGTTACCAATTCTCGGAATCTTTTCCCATCCTCAAAACCTTTAGTTGTGTTATTGGATACCGATACTGTAATTTCATTGGTCTAGGGCGGCCACGTGTCTTGACAATAAAAACGCATGTCACACACTGCAAGGGCGATATCGCACTGCGTTCATTGGGCGCGTTGCGCGCGCGTGTACACCTGCCGGCGCGCTAGCTTTGCGCAGTAAGTTACGACCATTAATCTTTTTGGCACGATATTGTCAACAATTAAGTGTAGACGTCGAATGCACGCGTGCGAGCGAAGCTCGAAACGAATATGACACAAGTGTGTCTTGCCAAATTGTTGTCAAAATCGCAGTGCCTGTACATTCTATATCAGTCAAGGTGTTGACCATACCCCCCCCCCCCCGTCACTCTTTATCTCAACCACACTGCCCACCAGACCAAGTGTCTCCCTCCTCATCCTACCCATGTCTTTTATCACACCCGTTGAACTGTCCATTGTAAATCACCTGTTCTACGTTGTGGTTTCAGAACAGGTATCATCCGTTTCATGTATTACTGTTAAAACTACGGGAAATATGAGCAAGGATATAGAAGTAATCGTCAGTTGTTGAGCCTGAAGGCATGACGATATTTTTACATTGGCTGTTTGGAAACCGAATAAACTTTTTTTTTTAATGATTTTTTTTTATTCCGTGTTTAACAATTTACCGATAAGCATTAATAAGTGTAAACTCACTTTACAAAATCACTTCCATAAAATAATTTTACGACATTTCTTCAAAATAGTTTTACAACACCTGATGTAAAACCAAAAAAAAAGGAAGTGTCTGGCAAGTGGCAACTCAGCTGCTAAATATGTTTTTGTTTGCAGTGTATATGTTATATGAGAAATGACAGTTCTCAAGATGTACGAATTCCATGATTTATTATGTCTTCTTTTTCCTTCGTTATTTGCCTCCCAAGATAGTCTAGTTTAGGCTGAAGTATCAGGTCATTTGAATCTTTTGGTTTAATATGTCAGTATTTAGTACAACTGAACCATTCCAACTGTAATCATTTCAACGAAAGTCCAAACGGTGCATTCAGGGAAAAAGTGTTCCTATAAATTACTGTCTCCTGCCTCCCACAGTGGCGGTTCTACGGGGGGGGGGGGGGGGGGGGCTAGTGGGGGCTTAAGCCCCCCCCCCAAAAAAAAAAAATTGTCTAGCCCCCCGGCCAAAAAAATTCATAATGCACTAGCAAAATGCAAGAATTTGACGTACATAGGAACGTTCTCCCCCTAAATGAGAAGGGTGCATTTGTACACTTTTCGTTAATAGTGTGCCTGATTGTAGGATTTTATCAGCGCTCCCCATTGAAAATATGGCACGAGCCTCCCCCCCCCCCTCCCTGAAAAATTCTGGATCCACATTGCTAGCCCCCCCCCCCTCCCCCCCCCCCCCCCCCAAAAAAAAAAAAATATTGGCTCTAGAACCCTGGCCTCCCAATGGCATTTGAACTTAATTTCTGGGTCCAATTTGGTATTACATCATATACAAAATGTGGAAACATGTTTTTGCGTCTCTATCGACGACCACAATCCACTTATATATGGATATGTTGACTTTTATGATTACAGCAATAACACAAATATTTATGAATTAAATTCATTAATATATAATTAAAAGGATTTGTTGATTATTTCGGCCCGCACTGATTGAAGTCCAGTTATTATTGGATTGTTATACCTCAAGCGATGAACAACATCCATGTTTTATTGATTGTGGACTTTTGCTTATACCCTATAGGGCTTATGCGACGAGTCAAGATATAAATACACTGTAAAAAAATGGCTGTAATTTGGACAGTATCTTACTGTAATTTCCTACAGTAGTATATGCTGTATATTTGTTTCACAGTAATTTACTGTAAAGTATGCCTTGTTGGGAGCTGTTGGTTTAGCTGTAAAATACTGTACAAAGTACAATTATACAGTAATTTTCACAGTAATTTACTGTTAAATATTTTGACAGTATCATACTGTAAACTTAATCACGTAGACAACACGCCCATAATTATTTTAGGCTGCAACTAAAAATCGTCTTGCGTGTGAAAAGAATCAAGGCGGAAACCGACAGACTCTATCTTGGGGTTTTTTTTGCACATTTGAAGTGTTGGTAATTCTGTTCCCTGAATGTGTACATATGTTGGTAGGTATAATCCGTGCAAGATTAATGTTTGCTTCAATCTCTACATATAGGCCTGCATGACTTTTTTTTATCGGATCATTTCAAATGTTCCCGGCCCACTTAGTTTAGTTTAATTTTTTAGCTGTTGCTGCCCTTTACTTTTTTTTATTGGATTGTATTCGTTTAAAGTCTAGTATAGGCCTTATATGATTTTCAATGTTCAATAATTTTGTTTATACATGTATCCTGTTGTTGGCTTGTAGTCTAGTGGGGTAAGTTGACTGCCCCAGCTGAAGTTTCTCCTTGAACCCGTTCGGCCTTGCTGTGGTCGTGCTGGCTGTGGCCTGGTTTTTCCCCTGAGAGTGCCACGTTGTGACCGCTACACTTTGGCGGGATCGGGTGGCTAGAGTGTACATGTATTGGTCAGTTCTCCCCAATTGCCACATCACCATTCCCAAACGAGTCAGCACCAAGCAGGGCTGCTGCCTATGCTGCTTCATCCCATTGTTATATCTTGAGCTAAAATATTCAGTTTCTTGTAAACATCACCTGGTTCTTCTGCATATATACGCCGGAATGGTGGCCCCCTTTTCATAGGTGAGTCTTATTTGTATATTTTCTTTTTACTTTTCCCAATGCTATCGAAATGTTATTGATTTATCAAGTTTTCTTCCCCTTCGCAAACATGGCTTCACAGTCACCATGATAGTGGACGATTCGAAGCGAATTAATTATCTCCTTGCTGTCGTTCCCATGGTTATTTCATATACAATTTCATATATCAGTTTCGTTTGAAGACCTGACATTGTCAACTTGAAGTTGTGCCATTCGGTTGAAGTGACATTCGTATTTCCGCTTCATTTCCACGCATTCTTCTAGGACCTTTTGCGTTCAAGATGTTTTTAAAAAAGTTTCCAGACCAACTGATGTTGTTTAATCCTGATACCGATACTGTTACATATACGACCGAGTATGCATTTTATATCGTCTACACAGGGGTGTTTGGGGCTTTGTTAAATAAACAAGTACACATTTTCCTCCATCTCTTGATCATTGTCCGGAAATTTAAAATTCCTCAAGACCCAATGAATTATTGATTTGTTTAATTGATCCTTTCCAGTGACTTCCATTTTGACTGCACGCAAGTGGATGTTTTCTACTTAAGGCAGAGACGATCTCTACAGACTTCGTTGCAGGTCTATCATTCCTGTCCTGCTATGCATCTTCTCAATTTGGAGTACCAAGCCTAACCTGTCACTACGTTATTCGTACAAAGGTAATTATGTGTGACCTATATCGAATGCTGTTCCTACTACTCAAATCAGAGTATTTTCTCATTCTTGTCTATTTCCCGATAAAGTACATGTACTCCAGAGGAAAGGGGGCGTATTCCCTCCCATTAGTTCCCCGAGAAACACTTAAGGGCGTGTCTACAATATCCGAAATGCCACCCCGAAAAATCATAGAGCCCCTTTGAGTGCCCACCATGTACATGTACTACTGAAACTACTCTAGAGTCTAGTTAGTTAAATAAAATAGGTCACATCACACTATGACTGGAAAAGGTTGTACATGACTTAAATTCCAACCTCTGGATTTTTGCATTTTTAGCAAATCCCTAGGTCACTCGGGGGGGGGGGGGTCCAATATAAGCAAGCCTAGTCAAGTCAAAGAAATCACATAAACAGTGAAGTTTGGTTCTTGTCATATTTCCCAAGGTATGCATCAAAAGGTTCACCCAAATAATTCAATTGCACTTTTCAATACTGGTAACCTTATAACAAAATTACTTGTGTGTATATTGCCTTAATTACAGATGCTTCATGAGAATCAGTCTGGAATCCGGCACCAAATGCACCAGAAGAGGGGAAATCAAACGCACAGGTCAGGACGTTCACAGGAAGAGAGAAATGATCAATTGCCATGTTGCAACATTTTGTTTGCAAACTTGTGGACTTGACTATATTGTTGAAAGATCTAAAAAAAAAAAATGAATGCAATAGATAAACTTTGATGAGAGTATCAAGAGATCAAACAGTTTTACTCCATGTGAATCCTTTGTTTACCAAATTGAGTCACTTAAAGATACAAGATCTATTACCTGCGCCTGATTTTACCTTGAAAAAAATATAGTACTATTTCTGTATGACCTATAAAGTAAAAAGCCTTCAGATGCGACTCGCCAAATGAAAACCATCCACGGATAAACCCACAACTATCTAGAAAATGTGCTAGTATATCCACTCATTAAATTAATAAAAAATGATAACATAGATATTATCACAGAAAATTGTTGTAACACTTAGAATGGCCTTGTCTAGTACTTAGGTAACTTTTGCCAAATAATTTCACATATTCAAATGCAATTGAGTAGAGAGTTCCAAAAAATGCAAGGAGTTTTGTAAAAGGATAATGTTTGTACACTTAAAAGATAATTAAAAACAAAGTACCAGCTTATAGTGGGCCGCAAAGTTAAATACCGGTATGTGGGTTGTTTCCACTGTACTTGGAATAACAAATGATTTTGAACAACCAATTCAATTGAAGAATAGAAAGATGTCTAATTGTGTTTCAACAGTTTGTTCTTAACTAAAATATTTGAATTATTTGAACATAATTAAAAAAAATCTTTCCCGTCCTTCACAGAATAAAGATAACAAAAGTTTCAAACGTGGAACAGTTGTCATCTGTGTGTTTTTTTTTGTAAATTTTTACTGGATCAGTAGGCCCGACTGTAAATTTGAAGATTACTGTAAATTTAGCTGTAAATTACTGTTAATTACTTAACAGTATGATCACCACTACTGTATGAATTATGCAGTACTTTACCGTGATTGTTTTACAGTAGCACTGCTCTGATTGTAAAAACTACAGTAATTAACTATTTTATTTAAATACAGTATGATAATATTTACTGTAAAATTATACATTACTTTACCGTGATCATTTTACAGTAGCACTGCTCTTGTTGTAAAAACAACAGTAATTTACTATTTTATTTAAATACAGTATGATAATATTTACTGTAAAATTTACAGTAAACGGCTGGCAACTGAGCTGCCAGTAAATTACTGTAATTTTTACAGTTAATTTTTTACAGTGTAGTTGTGTGGATTTTGCGGTTCAAGTGACGACCAAAATCCAGCAGTTCTTTACGGCTTTTTGCGGTGCAGTTAAGACTAGCAATGTTATTCTGTGTTTATATTTCGCAAAAGAAGGGAAATACAATGGAAAATGTTATCGTTTCACGACGGCCGGAAACGAAACCTCCTCAAATTTTACAGACTTTAATATGTCAGCACGCTGTGTGCCAAGTCATACCCTGCTGAAATCACGGATCATATAGACACCAGGATAAACGACTGTTCTGAGCTCTAGTACAAAATGCACTCAGTGGACTTGCCTTTATTGGTTAGACGCGTGATAACGGGCATTAATACCCGTTGGCGCGTAATCGCGAATTTTCCAGATGTGCCATTGTGTTGGGTTTTTGCACGACATCTCAAAAGGAAATATTCATAAAACTGTAAGTAAAAATACTTCTTATTTAAGATATAATTGTTCCAATTATTTTTAAAAAATAAATACTTCAGGATATAACAGATGGTATTATGCAGTTTTTGTCGTCATAGATGAAGTATTTACCCAGAAAATAAACGTCAAATTTCAAGGAGAACACCGTTTACCCAAATTTCGTTTTTAATTAGGCTTTTATTAAAAAGTTTTAGAGAGATAGGATGCCGAACCGATGAAACAAAAGCAACATTTCATTGTTCATCTTAAAGCTAAAGAAATTGTGCTCGGCATTACCATGGTTATGTAGTTTTCACTTATCAGAATTCGATAATAAAGACCAAAAACGTAGACTCATGAATATTCAAAAATATAATTCGCTGGCTTGACAGACTTCGAGGCCAGATCGGGCGAAGAGCCTTGCAAATCTGAAAGCCACCGTGCGCAGTGGTCTTTGTTGAAAAGTATTTATGATATTTGCCACCAGCATAGGCCGTTATCACGCGTCTAACCAGGAGTTGGGCCGAGTCGTTTATCCTTGTGTGTAGGATCCGTGCTGAAATGTACAACAACAATAAGCAGGTACCTATAACTATACAGCTGCGCTGCATGCAATGGCATTGGCCAACCCTCTTACACAATTGTGAATACACATTGTGATAAAGTTTGAATGAAGGGTTATTTTCCTGTTGAATGGTGTTCACCTAGTTAAGTCGTTTATTGTACCCGACTTGCCACGCACACAAACCGTCTTTGCTCTATTATAAACTATGTCGCAATCCTGGAAGGGGAATTTCCAAATGTTTTCAAACGTTACTATTATTAACAGCATGACGTCATTGTATTTTGTTATCAAGAATGGCGTTTTTGTAAAAGTGAAAAGGGTCGACGCACGAAAAGTCTCCTTGTCTCTCTTTTGCTTCTATTTCTCTTCTGAAGATGTCGAAATCATGGGTATAAGTGTCCTTTTTATAATAATGGGACAATTACTCACTCCTTTGGTTGGGTGGTGGCAAAATTGAAGTATTAACAAGTGTTCATCAATTTAACTTGATACTTCCCCAATGTTATGGAATGAATGAATTGTTTGCAGGTTGCAAAAAAAGTTATCCGCATCCCAACATGGAACCGTGATTGTTGGCACGTCTCTCCACCATTACCGACACGAAAACGACCGTAGGACTTGATGCTACACTCTTACAAAAAGTTCTCGGTCAGATTGGGCCAAAATCTCAGTCAAACTGACGCTTATTTTCATTTTGAAAAACAGAAAGATTACTGGGGAACAAATTCCGTGCAATTTTCTACTCCTTTCAAATATATGCAATTTATTTGACATCCCTTTGTGGTAAGTTTTATTGAAAGTGCCCTTCTTTAAACATTTAAGATTGTCCATGCTTTTTCGGACAACTGAGAGCGCTGTTGCTGTGATATAATTTCAGGAAGACCCTGTTCAATTTAAGGGATTTCTGATCAAATGTGAACCCAAAATTTGCTCACAGAAAACATTTGTGAGAAATGTTTGCTCAATGGTTTAATGTCTTGTTTCAAAAAGAACAACGAATCACCAAAGAAAAGAAAATATACGACGGCAAAATATCCAAAATTCTGGCAACTGTTGGTGCTGAAATAGCTGTAACATTGAGGTTTCTGCCTGAAATCACATCAAACTTTTTTGCTCATGAATAAGTAAATTTGCAGCAGCATAAAAACCAAAAAAAGGTACCCAAACACCCTTAAAAATGGCAAAATGAACATTGAAAACAAAGTTTAATGGGACACAAAATTAATGTACATATATTCAAGGATTGCATTAAAAAAATTACATTGCATGAGCCTTTTAAGAGCCTGTATATCTTTGCATTAGCGGTTTAAATACTTAGCCCAAGCAAACCCAAAAGTACGTACACATGACTTGAATGCAAAGAACAATGCACCTTTTAACTTCTCACATTTAAGGAGATCGTCATTTACCTCTGAATAAAGCCTAACTTGGAATCAGAAACCTCTAAGGGGCTGTCCACTAAGTACGTATGTACGAAGGGGAAAAGTTTTCAACGTTGCGTTAGGAGGGGGTCCTAGGCTAAATGCGTACGAAAGCAGATAATAAATTGTCATAAATCAATGTACTTTCTCACAACTATTTAATGCCTACCAGGACCAGCTTTTATGCATCAAAAATCGTTATGACACTGTATCTTTTATCATCATCATTTAGATTTTTTCCCAGTGCCAACGTTAGCCAACCCCCTTAGAGGTCATTAAAATTCAGAGATCGAGACCGCGAAGAGATAAAAAGGCGGTTGTGATACCGCCACCTTTTAAGTAGTTAGAGTCGAATTCTTTTGTCGTTCGGGGAGTGGGGTGGGGCGGGGGGTGGGGTGGGGCGGGAAGGGAGGGGTGGGGCGGAAAGGGAGGGGAAGGGAAAAGGGGTTGGAACCACTGCGTATGCCGTGCATAAGGGGGAGGGGGTCTAAAAAGTTGGCATTCGTTCGTGCGTACTTTATGGACGGCCCCCAAAGCCATGCACAAACAACTCATACTTGGAACAATTTGCGATCGTTCAGTGCATCAACTAATATTCACTTGAGGAGCGCAATGGACTCACCTGTGAAGTTAGATATCCAGTATCGGCAGTTCCGATCTTGTATCCACTGTTCGTTAAATTTAGTTCCCAGTTGTTAATTCGCTGGACAAACGATGAAAGTTATTTCCTGCTGGAATATGGGTCAATGGTGCAGAACATAATGCACGTTTGCGCCTGTATCATACAGCAAAAGAATACGGTGTGCGATTGCCCTGCTATGCGGCAACCTCCCTTTGTTCGGCGAACAATGGTCCGTCACGGTGGAAAATGCATTGAAGGTAGGAATTAAGTTGGGGATATATGGGGTGATATTTGTTGGTAACCGAACAAAAATGTTTTTTTAAAGGGGCATTACGGCCTGGAATCCCCGAAAATGTTATGTTTTGGATTGGTGAACTATCCTATTTCAAAAGCCCGGTTGTTTACATCGGATGCTGCGGACATGTTGTGGCATACGTATACGTTTATTCCAGCCGTAACTAAATCATGGAATTGTGGGCTCTATCTCGACAAGGTGACAGCATCAGTCTAACGCTACAAATAACTGCGGTAATTTGATTAATCTAAACTAATAGCGGTGCTTTGTCACCCAAATGAATCATTATATTCACTCAACCAATGAACTCATAGTGTTTTGAGAAATACTTTCGAAGGAAAGAGGTACATGTATGCGACTAGAATCACGACTAGCAAAATTTTACGCGCGCCATCGCAAGAATAACACAAGAACGCCCAGTTTTTAAAGGATGGATGTGTGGATATTTATATCCTACTTGAAACCTCTTTCCATTAAAATCATTTCATTTAATAAAACGCGTTTTGTAGCCCAATTGGGCGCATTCCAGGCTGTAATTATCATATCCTTTTGGAGGAACAACTTGTGTAGCTGCAAACCCGTGTGTGCGGAAACGCCGAGTGCAACGTTGCCACCACCCCCACGCCCCCGCGCCCCCCTCAACCCGACCCCCTCCCGAAAAAAAGGTGAATTTTCAAAGCTTAAGTGTCCTGTTGGCCACGCGGACTCAAACTGTAACTGCGAGTTGGGGTGGAAGGATAATGTGCTAAAGTCTTTCAATTCAATCCACTGTGGTTCACCTTGACAATTTTAGTTAACCCCTTAAGCACGGGTTATAATGAGGACATTCCTCCACACATAGAGCAAGTGGCCCGCATGACTGCACAGCCTTTGTGTGGTAGCGGGACTGCACAAAAGCAGCAGCTGTGGAACTACCCACTAGCTGTGTGCCACGGCATACCACAGCTGGCAACTGCATTCCAATGAGGATTAGCGGCCGCGGCCATGGCCGCTTCCCGAGCGCATGGGTTAACAATACTTTAAACTAGCGGGATGCCGCGCTTCGCGCGGCACCCGCTAGATGGGTGGAGTTGACTGTTTCGTATTAATTACTGTATACAGTGAAATCTCGATAATTTAAACTCCAATAACTCCAAACAACTGTTAAGTCAAATAAAGAATCAGACCCTCTGCTGCACTCGAGCCTATTTGGACTCGCCATCAGTCTCGCCCAAGTTGTATTTGCGTTTAGCAACGTGCGCGCACATAACGTTTCCTGCGGAGATTGTGCGAGGGTCCAGGACATATTGTCAATATAGGGGAAGGGGCTAGCTAGGGTGAAGGGTGCTAATCGGAACGCCCAATTTCCGTACAACCCGTCAACCATGTCACAAATATTTCCGGGGATGGGGAGAAATATTTCCAGGGACGGGGAGAAATGGTTTTTGTTATAGAGGGGAGATGGTGATATTGAAATCGCTGATATTGTGGAGGTTTATGTTTATGCTGGGATTCATACCGTTTAAATTGCGCACCGATTAGGAAGGTCTTGCTGTCAACAGTTGAATGAAATGAAGTATTTATTGCCGACCGATTGTCTCATGCGATGTCTCATTATATAAAGCTCATAACTAATGTTGTGCTGGAATATTGTCCAGTCAAATTGAACATCGATTTTTCAAGGTGCCAATTAAACCATAAAGGACGTATACACCAACTGTACAATTAGGTAATTTAGATGAAACGCGGTTTGATCTTGGCCTATACAACGTCGTGTCCATCGTTCTCACTACAGAGGAGAGGAGGGGGAAGCTAGTGGGGGTGGGGGTTTGATATTGTGTGGCCTATTTACATGGGCGTCGCCAGGATTTGTTTTCTAGAGGGGGCAAAACATATTTTTGCCAAAAAAATGCCTGTTTTTCTCAACACATTCTCCATTTATCAGTTTTAGAGGGGGGCAGGGACATTTTGCCCCCCCCACGCATTAAATTTAAAATTAAACTCATTTTTTCCCTTTTTTTCCCTTTTTTTTTTTGCTTTTCCAGGGGGGGGGCAAGTGCCCCCCCCCTTGCCCCCCCCCCCCCCCCCCTTGCGACGCCCATGCCTACTTATGTTACACCTGTGAATGGTCACTTATATTTCCGGGGAAGTGGGCAACAATTTATATTCGTTATGGTGAAGGGGGCGTTTCTTATGTATTAAGTAGTAGTTAATGTCATTATAGCAGTTTGTGTTTTTATTATGGTGATGGGGTTGTAGAGCAAAGTATTGTAACACGTTGATTTGCAGAAGAGAGTAAAACTATAAGAAAGGACATATTGGAGCACTTCATAATTATGTCAAGCACCACATGTTAAATGTATTTATTACAAAACTGTGAAAATGAAATCAGGTACAATGCACACACGAATTTTTTAGTAATAATGTATTTGCATTCATTACAGGGTAGTACTTCGACAAAACTCAGGGGATAAAATTGTAGTAAATTTTCGGAGCGATTTTCGCAAGGGACGTCGGTCCAGGCTTGTTTAGCATAGGCAAAAACATTCCATGAAAGACTTTCAAGCAAGACGGGTAATCATTCCATAATTATTCTTGGGTACAACTAAGCCAAGGATATAACTTTAAAAAAGGATGGACATAAAACAGCAGAAAAGAGTGATTATTTTTGCACTATTTCATGTTCATGACTTCTAAATAATAAAATTATGGCTAGAAGAAAAATGTGTTTTGAATGGGTAAAGAGAAAAAGCAGGAATCTTGCAGTTGAACTGGAAAGAATACGTGTGTGACGTCTTCGTCTTGAGTCGAGATTCTTGCTTTGGGAACTGGTTGAAGCATGCACTGGAGCATGCTTGGAGCATGGTTGGAGCTGGTCATGTGATGTGGGTGTCATCGGGAGTCCTGTGTAAAGGAGTAACGAAGAAAACTTGTAAAAAAAAATACATCGGCTAACAATAGCTACAAATAAATTGTTCCTGCGCGGTTTGTGCCTTACGATTCTGCGCGCCGTGCGTGCTCACAGCACATCGCGCAGTAATCGCCATCTTTATTTTCGGGTTGCGTGTTTTTGCTGTGCTGTCATCGTAATTCCCCCCCCCCCCCAAAAAAAAAATTTCCCTAAAAAAAATCAAAACCCTGCCCTCTATCTATGACATACCTGTTTATTGAGAATATCTCCAACTATTTTGGTCGGGCTTTTTTAAAGTGGATTTTGTTCCCTTATAGGAACCGGGCCCTACTACTACATACTAAATACTACACGATCGCCATGTCCGAGGCCCACGCGATTGGGTCACACTTTTCACAAACAACAATTGTCATTACCAGCAGTGGTGTTCGAAAGAATACTTATTATCCTTTGCCAGAGGTGTTCGAAAGAATTACTACTAACTATATAATCTATAATGTGTCATAGCACAAATCGGACTTACCATTTGAAAGAGAAAATTGTAGCATAATCAATGCATCAAACGACCATCAAACGAAGCTAGTAGTAGTGCTGAGGAAATGTGGGGCAAGCATGCCTTTAGCTTTGCATGTTGCATGGAATACCGTTGCATGCGCTGCATGCAGCGCATGCTCCTCTATGCACGACAGGTGTAGCGTGAATATCCGACTCCATGAAATGTGGACTCATAGGTAGTACTGCGCACGCGTGAGTACGATACTTATGCTATTTTTAGGATCATTTCGGGAGAGTGACCTGTCACGTGCGAGGGATCAACCAATAATAGGGAAATAGGGGTCCGATTTTCATAGGAGTCGAATTTTCATGTGACACCGGCCCATACGCAAGATGGCCGGCGCGGCTCAATGGGGAAGGGAATTCTGGGAAATTGGGTGGAAATAGCCGGGCCCCGTTCCGCATCCCCCGCGGCCAACGGGCGCGGGCGGGACGGGAGACCGGTCGGGAAAATGGCAGCGCCCTCCAATCATTTTCGTGATTGTAGTATAGATAACCATTGAACGTACAACAGCGTACTCAGATGCAACACGCTGAAATGGTAAGGTTTCGGTTTTATAGCGCCATCATGCGACAGCTTGTGGCCGAGAGAGATTGCGTCCTACATTTACCTGCCCGCGATATTTTTTATTACACAACTATCTGGGGTACTTTGTGCGCTTTCCTATGGAGCATGGCTTTTAAAAATAACGTTTCTAAGTTTCTCTACAATCCTATAGCCTTTTAACTACGCGCGCGCGCGTATACTCTCGCCACGTGTGTGAAAGTATATAATTTATGAATTGCAAGTGTCGGTCGAGAACCGCCGTGGCCAAGTGGTTAGGCATGCTGGCTAATGATCTGAGGTCCCGAGTTCGATTCCCTGCTGTGCTTTCTCCAGGTTTTGCTCTTTTTTTCAAAAATTTCAAGTTTTATCTTAGAAACGTTATTTTTCAGTCGAATACTACTTGTATAGCAGCAATTTTCGTTTACTTTTCTGATCCGAGGCTCTGGAGGATTTTTAAAAAAAGGAAAATAAAGTCCGAAATCCGCACCAAGTTGAAAAATAGTAGCCTCCACACAAGCCTGGTTATAAAAACCATGCTCCATAGGAAAGCGCACAAAGTACCCCAGATAGTTGTGTAATAAAAAATATCGCGGGCAGGTTAATGTAGGACGCCATCTCTCTCGGCCACAAGCTGTCGCATGATGGCGCTATAAAACCGAAACCTTACCATTTCAGCGTGTTGCATCTGAGTACGCTGTTGTACGTTCAATGGTTATTTAAAGTATTGTTAACTAAAATTGTCAAGGTGAACCGCAGTGGATTGAATTGAAAGACTTTAGCACATTATCCTTCCACCCCAACTCGTAGTTACAGTTCGAGTCCGGGTGGTCAACAGGACACTTAAGCAAATAACTGCGGTAAACATTTTTGTTCGGTTAGGCCAAAAAAAAAATATTCGGTCTCTGGTCAGACCAAAGTTCCGGAATTGACGCGGCCACGCGGCTTTTTTTTTTTTTTTTTTTTTTTTCAAGCTTGGATTGTACAGACAAGGTGGGTACTATTTTGCTTTTTTGGTGTCCTTATGTACATTGGTGTCCTCCATAATTTGCCTTTGTGATTTCGATCATTTGCCTTGGTGCAATTTCCCATTCCTTGGTGCTCTTTGGTAAAAAAAAATTGAGGAGGTGCAGAAATAGAGGGCGCTGTTGGAGCTACCGCGGAACATTTTAGAGAAAAAAAAAAAGATCGACGCGCATGATTAAAATCGACGCGCGCGCTGACCAGAGACCGGCTTATTTTTTTTTGGCCTTGCCAACAAATATCACCCCATATCCCCAACTTAATTCCTACCTTTGTCAATGCATTTTCCACGGTGCTGGACCATTGTTCGCCGAACAAAAGGGAGGTTGCCGCATAGCAGGGCAAACGCACACCGTATTCTTTTGCTGTCTGATACAGGCGCAAACGTGCATTATGTCCTGCACCACTATTGACCCATATTCCAGCAGGAAATAACTTTCATCGTTTGTCCAGCGTATTAACAATCTGGGACACTAAATTTAACGAACAGTGGATACAAGATCGGAACTGCCGATACTGGATATCTAACTTCACAGGTGAGTCCATTGCGCTCCTCAAGTGAATATTAGTTGATGCACTGAACGATCGCAAAAGTGTTCTAAGTATGAGTTGTTTGTGCATGGCTTTGGGGGCCGTCCATAAAGTACGCACGAACGAATGCCAACTTTTTAGACCCCCTCCCCCTTATGCACGGCATACGCAGTGGTTCCAACCCTTGTCCCCTCCCCTCCCTTCCCGCCCCACCCCACTCCCCGAACGACAAAAGAACTCGACTCTAACTACTTAAAAGGTGGCGATATCACAACCGCCTTTTTAACACTTCGCGGTCTCGATCTCTGAATTTTAATGACCTCTAAAGGGGTTGGCTGACGTTGGCACTGGGAAAAAATCTAAATGATGATGATAAAAGATACAGTGTCATAACGATTTTTGATGCATTAAAGCTGGTCCTGGTAGGCATTAAATAGTTGTGAGAAAGTACATTGATTTATGACAATTTATTATCTGCTTTCGTACGCATTTAGCCTAGGACCCCCTCCTTACGCAATGTTGAAAACTTTTCCCCTTCGTACATACGTACTTTGTGGACAGCCCCTTAGAGGTTTCTGATTCCAAGTTAGGCTTGATTCAGAGGTAAATGACGATCTCCTTAAATGTGAGAAGTTAAAAGGTACATTGTTCTTTGCATTCAAGTCATGTGTACGTACTTTTGGGTTTGCTTGGGCTAAGTATTTAAACCCCTATTGCAAAGATATACACTCTTAAAAGGCTCATGCAATGTATTTTTTTTAAATGCAATCCTTAAATATGCACATTCATTTTGTGTCCCATTTAACTTTGTGTTCAATGTTCATTTTGCCATTTTCAAGGGTGTTTTGGTACCTTTTTGGTTTTTATGCTACATGCGAATTTACTTATTCATGAGCAAAAAAGTCTGATGTGATTTCAGGTAGAAACCTCAATGTTACAGCTATTTCAGCACCAACAGTTGCCAGAATTTTGGATATTTTGCCGTCGTATATTTTCTTTTCTTTGGTGATTCGTTGTTCTTTTTGAAACAAGACAGTAAACCATTGAGCAAACATTTCTCACAAATGTTTTCTGTGAGCAAATTTTGGGTTCACATTTGATCAGAAATCCCCTAAATAGAACAGTGTCTTTCTGAAGTCATATCACAGCAACAGCGCTTTCAGTTGTCCGAAAAAGCATGGACAATCTTAAATGTTTAAAGAAGGGCACTTTCAATAAAACCTACCACAAAGGGATGTCAAATAAATTGCATATATTTGAAAGGAGTAGAAAATTGCACGGAACATGTTCCCCAGTAATCTTTCTGTTTTTCAAAATGAAAATAAACGTCAGTTTCACTGAGATTTTGGCCCAATCTGACCGAGAACTTTTTGTAAGAGTGTAGCATCAAGTCCTACGGTCGTTTTGTGTCGGTAATGGTGGAGAGACGTGCCAACAATCACGGCTCCATGTTGGGATGGGGATAACTTTTTTTCTCAGAACTTTAGCTTCTCAGAACCATACAACTCTCAAAGAGATATCAATCACATGGTGTTACGCAAACCTCCCATTCATTTTCGTGAAATGGGTGGTGAACGACCAATCTTGGAGATTAATGTATAGTGCAAAAACAGTGCTAATTATTTTACGTATCTTTGGATACATCCTATTGCATGCATTTGCATCTTTCGCCACGCACACAAAAATGGGCTACATTGTCTTGTGATAGCAGGTTGGCCAAGTAACCGACAACAATACTTGATTTTTGTACTACTCGCGAAGATATATCGTTGGAATGAAGTCAAGATTTGAAACTCGTCATCTATTCACTTGTCAAGGGATGTCGTTTCTGTGGCATTATAACTTTTGCTTTTGTTCACTCGAAAGCTCCCAACTTGTGTTAGTGCTTGAACACTAACGATTCTGCTTGAAAAAAAGCTCCGGCAAAATATTGGGGACTTAAATTTGAGCTTTGTTTCCACGATTTTATTCTTCGCGCTTAAGGATAGCAGAGTGAGAGATCAACACATATCAACAAACTGATTTAATCTTAAATCCCACAGAAACCATAGGTCGGAAGAACGAAGCGGGCTGTCCGACGTATGTGTCTTTATCAAACCTGGTAAGCAATTTTCCCGATTTCGTACAGCGAAGATATAATCGTATAGCTCATAGCTGACCCTAAATCACAAAAGGTAGAAAAACTGTTGAAATCGGATAATATAGCTTCCAAAATGTCCAAGCTAGTTGGGCCGTATGCGGGTTCTTTGGTATTAACCTATTTCTATGACGTCACACTATTGTTAAAAGTGTAGATTATTTGTATGAATCTACACTTACCTGCAGATTATTTTAAGAATCTACATTTTTTTGTGTGAATAGCTTCTGCATTCAATTCCATGTATAAACGTAACAGTCCACTTTAAACTGTAACAGTCCACTTTAAAATGAAATGAAAATGTCAATGTACGCATTGTTGACGTTTTTGTGGTTCGAAAAAATTTAACCTGATGTCAACAACTAGCCTCTTATTTTGACGTTCCCTTTCAGTATATGGAAGGAATGTATCAACCTGACGCCACTTTTTCATATATCATCTCGATGAAGTTCAGTCATTGCACAAATGTTGAAAAGAAATGAATCTGGGACTGAGAATCATTCAAATTTTGTTAGGAAATACTTCGTTAGGAAATTTTCTTCACTCTCCATAGACTCTGTACACAACCGCTGAAGTGGCGTCTGTATACAACATTCTTTCCTTTTTTGGTATAATTTAATGTACAGTGGCGAGTATAAGTTTTTACTTAAAGTACAATATAATTGTTAAATATTTTTTTCTTTATGTATTTTTTTAAAAAGTTTTATCGTCTGTCTTTGCATTCGCATTATCACACCAAAAAAATTCAGTGGATATCCCTCTTATAAAGTTTATGTTGACATCTAGTCTTATAATTTAATTTGGTTTTATCATAACCCTTCCCATGTTATTTAATTACTGTCCCGTGCAAAAAAAAAACATTAACCGAAGTACAATACTAAAGGGAGTGGATGAATAACTGAAGAAATCAAATTGACCACTGGAAACTCACCAAAGCAATACTTCTGAGAATTTGTTAGTTCCTAAGTAAAGTATTTCCTGTGGTGTTTGCCATGAGGTGTTACTATTTCGATATGTACTCATGTAACAAACTATCAATGTAAATATCGTATTTCGCATTTGAATGCACAATGACAAGCGGTTCCACAAATTGAAGAGCTCTGTGCACAGGAGTTGCTTGCCAACTTGTTCTTGTGGTTGGTGTTAAACTCCTCATCCCTGTACCACATCAATAGCATTTAGTAGTTTTCATAATCCAGTATATGTCTGTAGCTGTAACATAAAACCACGTCTATAACATCCATTTGGATCATTGGGTGACTGTCCATTTAATTCTAGGACAGCTCAATGCACTGTGCATCATGATGAATGGAACAAATAATGATGTGTACCCATGCATCCGAAGATTAACAATAGGATCTTGATGCAAGCACAGTGCCAGGCAAAATTTAATAGATTGTACGAATCTACACTTATTCACAACGTGGAGATTCACAGTGGTAAAACCAGGGATCTTATTTACATATACAATAATTGTTGCTGATTAAGTCGGAGAACAGACTCGGAACTGTAGATTCGTGCAAGTCTATATAAGCACGAATCTACAGTTCCTATCGGAGAAGAAAATTGATCACCGATGGGCCTTTTTTATTCTCTTTTTTTCCCTTTCAGATTGTGTTGCCAATTAACACACTTTCATTATGGATGAGGAAGTCATCACTGCAATAAGGTACGCTGTGTCCGTTTGTTCTATTCTGGCCATCGTCGCGAATTCAATCGTTATTACGGTATTCGCCGTTACAAAACAACTTCGCAACAAGTACTACGCTTTCATCTTTAACCTGGCGTTGGCCGATGGCCTCTTTGCTGCCTTTAACATCGCAGTCCCTTGGACAGACAAGTCGTCGGCCTCGGATGTTTGGGCCGGTTTAGTCATCGCATCCTTCACGGTGTCAGTGTTGACTATTCTGGCTGCGGCTATCAATCGTTATCTGGCCCTGTCCCTCACCCCACCGGCTCGCTACGACGCACTGGTGACAGGATATCGTCTGGCGGGAGTTTGTGCCATTCTATGGGTTTGTAGTATACTATATGGCTTTCTGATACGTAATGTCGCGGCGAGCGGTGTGTACCACGTTATACAACACCTTGTTTACTCCCTGGTATTAGTAGTGATTTGGTTTATCACCGCGATTGCTTACTTTCTGGCTTTCCGTAAGGTCAAACAGTACACCCCACCACTCGCATCCACTCCAGGAATCTCTGTTAACGCGGACTGCGATGATGACACGCGCGCTAGGCAGACCCGCCGTTTATTGGTCATTTTCACTTGCGTTCTCCTTATGTCATTCATCTCCTGGGTACCTTATGGCATGTTGTGGATGGTTGTCTATTTTAATACTTCTCTGTTGTATAATGCTCATTTTTTGGCGTTTTTCTGGGGAATTTACTTCATGTATTGCCTCTCTACCGTGATCAATCCCCTGATTTATTGGTGTGGATTAAATGCTTTCAGAGAGGGTTTTTATGCGGTATTCTGTCGCTGTGTCGTCAAGTCGGACAATGGAAGGACCGACATCGAGCCTATTACAAACGAGAATACAGTTGTAGATACAGTATTGTAAGCATTTATATTCATGCTGTCAATATTCTGGCTTTTTAGGGGCAAGGTAGTATGACTTAGCACTCATTAACAAGAAGCTTCATTATGGATAGGTCATGAATATCTTTTCAAAATAGCAATTTATGGCCTTGAAGACAAAATGATAACCGATATAGACTTCTAAAAGATAACCACTCACCCTTACAGCTAAGAATAATATCACCGATTGTACTAAACGTGAAAATGTATAGTTATGACGATAATTGCAAACTGATTATGGAGGACAATTGGTGATACAATAACGTAAATGACAAATGTGTTTTCATTTTTCGACTTGATTTCACATAATCAAAGGCTGATAATAACAAAAAAATCTAGAGTAAATTTTAATTGGTTATTGTAGTGATCTTGTATTACTGGAGATGATGGAGATCAAGTTTTATTGGGGTGTTATTTTATCAGTTTGTGTTTAATGTTTTAGCTTCCATCATGGTCACATAGAGTTTGGTGATATGGTGAAAAGTTCACACGTTCAATACAAGAAAACACTGTCTTCCGTCAAAGACATGTTCACGACAGACATGCATGGTTGTGTTGTGTTGGGCAACGGTATACTGTAGATAAAGTAGGCCTATAATATGGGCCCCGAAAATTGTGGTACGATCTGAGGCAATTTCTGACTATTTTCGAGTTTGCAGTCATTGAATCGGTTAGTTGTAGCTGTAGAATCAAAACGTAGGCTAGCACTTTATAATTCGGGAACGGAAAAAGTGGGGAGTTGGACAAACGACGATATCCCCCACCCCCTTAAAAATGGGGGGGGGGGGGACATGTCCGCCCGTCCCCACCGGACGGTCTAGCCAGACGGAATTGTGGGGTGATAGCATTGTGTTCCCATTATCCCTTTTTCTAAAGATTCTCTTCTGGGGTGATGTTTTTCTATTGTGAAAATAGTGGTGTGACGTGTCCTGAAAGGAACATCACCCCCACAAGGGGGTATGGTCAGAACGACTGTACATATTCCAAAAAGGGCATCGACAACTCCTAATGAATAATAGCTGTTTATCAAAGCATGAATCCATAATGTCCCGAAACCTCCATGATATAATTGCGTATCTACATGATGTTTAGCTTTTTTTTATGAGCGACTATTGAAAAATCTTGCAAGAATTATCTACAATTTTTTTGAAGGTCGATTGCTTGGCAGTTACTCACAATTATTGAAGAAGCATAACATATTCTAACTTATAATGTATATTTTGTTTGAGATTTGGAAAACAAATTAGGAACATATTGCCGATTAACTGTTTTAAACACTGCTTTTTGTTGAATTTTATCCCGAATAACCAAAATTGATTTACACAAAATGGAGAAGGAGAATGTCTAGTAGAAATAGCACGCTCAATGTATGTGGAAACAATGCAAAAGATGTACTCTCTTATACTACAGGGTGTCTTTAAAAAAAACGAACCCTAAAATCCCCTGTTTTTCACAGCTTTAAAAAAAATACCTCGCAAATATAGAAACATAAAATAATGTGGAGATAATAGTTCATTAGATTTTCACCAATGAAAAAAAATCTTGCCAAGCGGGTAAATATTTATCGAGTTATGGTTAATTCAAACTAAAGCGCCAATTTTTTAATCTGTCCAAGGTCTCAATTGTCATCACGGTTAAGTGGATTTGGGTTGAGGGTAGCTTTTTGCAACAGTGGTCTTTTGGAAGAAATGGTAGACCTTAAAATGACTGTTTGGTTAACTTCTTTGATGTTATAATACTGCGCTGCTCTGTCTCGGCCCTCTGCTTGGTAGCCTTTTTTCACAAATGCAACTTTTGGCCCGCGTTCTTATTGCGGCAGTCAAAATATCAGTCGCCGTGGACAAAATGAAAAAGCGGTACATGTATTCAATTGGCCATAATATTTGCCCGATTTGAACGATTTTTTCGGTGATGAAAAGCTAATGAAATATACTCTCTACACGTGAATCGATATTTGCGATTCATTTTTTAAAGCTGTAAAAAAGAGGAGCTTTTATTGTTCGGGTTTATTTTTTAGACACCCACCGATTGCTTATTATAATACACAAATATGTATGTGGAACTGGGTGTTAAAAGTCGAAAAGTGGAAAGAGGACTCAATGATTCTGGTTCTGGTTTTTAATGCTGGTTTATTCTGAATGAGATGGGAAAGGAAACCAAATCATGATACGGCTATTCTGATTGGCTGGGTTTTTTTATTCTGATTTGGCTGTGATTTAAATAGTAATGTGAATTATTAAACGGAGTACTTTGGGACAACCTACAAAATTATGCTCAGATAAATTTCCATTGAATATCGAATTTATACCTTAAAGGGAAAACTGCGATACTCACTGAAACAAATGTATAAAATTAATCATTTTATAATGGTTTTATTATTCAACAACTGATTATTGGTGGCAAGGTTTTTTGAGTAATACATATTGCACGATTGTTTTTACATTAAAAATGTTATTTTTATGGTGAAAATAATCAGACTATTGTGTGAAATAAATACTAAAGTATAATAAATCCACTTTGTAAGACGAGTGATACGAAAAAAAACCAGCATTATATTTGTTGTGAATGTTTTAATTTATTTATTTTTTAGCCTGTTGGAATTTGTTTAAAATCCATGCCGCTTTAATAATGATTAAAACATTTTAGAATGGCAATCCCAAAAATAAATTTTAGATGCAATTGCTAAATGAGCAGTCTAGTTTGATTACCTTTCAGATGAGTCCGATTGCAGTAAAAAAAAAATAACAATTTCTGAGGCCAAAAAATTTGGGCAACATTTTTTGAAAAAAATTTCAAACTTCTAAAAAAAAAAAGAAATTGAAAACAACTTGTGAGCCCCCCCCCCCCCCAGCCAAATCCTGGTTGGGCACCTGGTTACATTGAGGTTTCTGCCTGATATGACATCAAACTTTTGCTAACGAATATGGATATTTGCACATGCAAAAAAAAAACACAAAAAAAAACTCATAACAATTCCCTTAAAAATGGCAAAATGAAACTTGAAAATAAGGTTAAGTGGAACACAAACGTGCATTTAGGATTGCATTAAAATAATTACATGGACCGACAAACACGGTTGTATATGGCTATCTTTTAACATGGGTCTTATTATTTATTAAATGACAACGATTAAGATCTATGTTACAAGAGAGCCACCTACAGACCTGTTTGTAGGGCACTTCAAAGGAACTACAAATTGTTTGGGTAGAACGTTTTCAATGGGGAAAACGCGAGCCACCGGCATTCGCCCAGAACTCGAACAGAATTAGGCCAAAGGGCATAATTTGTCATTTGACTATTATTATCATTTTCAAGTTTAGGCGCCGCCACCATCCAGTATAACTGTCGGATGCGGGATGGGGGCGGCAACTGGGGCCATGCACACCCCCTCCCCCCGAAAAATAAAAGAGTGTCATTTTTTGTTAATTATAAAATCAGAAAGGGAGTAAAGACTGCTGTCTTTAAATCGATGCTTCTGGAACAACTATAAGAAATCGACGGGCCGGGGTGAGTTGGAAATGGCAAATATATCGGCGTGCTGAAGCGGAGCCACTTTGCTGGAAAAATGAATCCTTTTTAAATGGCTTTTTTTCCAAAAGAAATTCCATTTGCTGAGCAAAGTTAAGCAGCTATCGAAATTACCCCCTTTCTTTGCGTCAGGTTGGTGATATTATCCTGGGTCAGGAGTACAGCAAAGAAAATTCATGATCACATCTCGAAGACCCAGTACCCGCGAGCAATTATTGCACTTTATGCAGCTAGAATGTAAAAGAAATACAAGGTGTATGTAGGCCTATGCGTGATCTTGTGCAGACTATATACCGATATTTCACCAACATAATTTACCAAGCGCCGAAAACCTATCAACTTTGGGATGTGCGCACTGTACTGGTGGCGAAAAATGTTATGCACGAACTGGACCAACTACTACTGACGATTTGCTACAGAGGGGTGCCCCAACCTCCAGGCTATTGTTACCTAATAAAAGTAATGATCCACCGTGGCTCCTGTGTTCTTATTCCTCCATGATATACTCAAAGAATTGATCAAACACATTGGTCAAAAACAAAAAAAGGGATGCCCTCCGTCGCATATCTTGCTTGCCACAAAGTAGTTCCAATTTATGTGTGTAGTAGGCCGGTTGGAACAGTTTACGCACGATTGACCGATTCTTCACTAGTTGGGCGTTGTACCCTAAGATCGTATTTACGAGAATATCGGACGCTCGGTATTGTACATTGACATATGAAACGCGATAGCGTCATTATTTGGGGCTATGGGAAAAGGCGCCCCTAGCGTTGAGTAGGTAAACGCATGTGAGGGTTCGTTTAGCTCACCCGGGTCGACATGGGTCGATCAGCCACGTGTAGTGGTTCCCAGACCAAAAGATTCTGACTATTCCCGATGAATCTTAGGTCCGGTAGCCTCCAACCTCGTCCCCAGTGCTTACTTTATTTCCAACATCGTTTCCAATAGTAAACCCTGGATAGGAAACTTTCTTCCTGTATCCTGATTCGATACCGCAATTTGCTAGTAATGGATTTTTATCGTGTACTTGGTGTTGATATTCACAACGTGCAGTACGTGTTTTCGCGATCATTCGTCCGTGCCTTCTCGAAAATATTTATTTCCTTTCCAATTTGTTAATATTAATCTGAAATGTGATACTGCATATTTGTTTCGTTAAGATCTTAACAGTTTAATTGAATACAAATCGTGTTTTCGTAACTCACGCCATGCTCGCGCTGCCACGAATTGACTCTGTTTTACCCCAGACACCGCATACAAAAACAAACGCTAATGTAACGCACATGCAGGCACCAGACTATTCCTCATTTGCATACGTGTTCAAAAATCTTGCACATGCAAATGATCCAATACCAGGGTGAGAGAGCAGGTAGTGATGGGCGCGTACTGCTCGACACCCTGGGGACGAGGCTGGGTAGCCTCCGGTAATACATTGTATAACAATTTACGTCACGTGACTGAAACGGGAGGAATTCCTCCTTTTTCCGAAAATTTCCGAAGTTTGCCGAATTATTTTCGTCGACACTCGGACAGCGCCCGAGTATTTCCGAGTATAGGTTTAAATAACTGCTCATTGCTTATTAATCTTTGATAATTACTATTCATTGCCTTCATTTAGAAAACTTGAAACTCAGCGACGATTTTGTGCATCAAATATACTCGGATCGTATGGGCGAACTTTTTGCTGCGTCACGTACAATTTTGAATTTGACGACCGTTACCGAGATTTTCCAAAACTCGGTCTTCATTCGGCTCCGCCTGCTAACAGTGCTATTTGGGTGCCTAATTTTGAAGATTCCAGATCAACATTAGTCAATGTAATCTTACAGACACATCAAACTGTATTATCATAACTGTATGATATTACGAAGCAAGTGATTTATAAAAAAAAAATGGTCCGAACATTAAAAGCTAAAAGTGATAAAGCGAAATTGGAAACGAAGCCGAGTTTTGAAAAACGGTCATCAATGTCGTCATGTTTATTTTTAGCCACGGAGGCTGCCTGACCTACAATTTAGACGTGAGCGTCGTGATGGCCCGCGGTGGAGCGTTCGATAACTTCGATTATTAGCCCAGACATCCACATGTGGGTGTACGCTATGGCGTTTTGGACATAACTTTAATAAAAACATGAGAAGAAAATATAGAATTACAAAAAAAGTGAATTTGAACGTTATGAAATTCGGACTGTATTTCCCTTTAAAAGAAGAAAAATCCTCAGGTTAGAAAAGGAAAAAAATCTAGCGGTGCAAAATCCTACCCTTTATCGACTGAACTGTCGCACTGGTCGCCAAAATGTGGGGAAACAAATAATTATATACCTCCGTGCGTACGTTGATCTCCATTAGTATCATAAAAGTATCGTAGAGGGCGCTAAACACCCATATATGCGGATGTCGTTTGGGAGAAAAAAATTCGCGACCCGTCTGTCTAAAAAAATTACCCGAGTCGAGCCGTATGAGATACTCGAACGCACCCTAGTATCACCATCGGGTGTAAAATGCGAGCGGGATTTTCATTGATGAAGGAGAAAACCAACTTTCAAAAGATGACTTGATAAAGAAATGAAGACGCGATTAAAGGATTAAATGAATGAACGAATATGATAAAAGGGGCATAAAAGACCTGTCTGCTTACCAGAGAAAACAATCATGTTTGGGGGAGGAGACCGGGCAATGCAGCCAATAAGGACTCAAGCGGCGATTGCTTCATAAGTCCACAATTTTCCAAACGTGGAAACCAGATTCAAGTTTTTCGCTTCGAAAATTTATAATTTTTAATTTTTAATTTACCAAGTAACATGCACCCATTGCTTATTATGAAATGAATAAAATGATTGTATGATCCTCTTCAATTTTTTGACGAGTATAATAAGAACTAACTTAGAACGCTTTACGTGTCACTTGGACATCACAGGTGATCGGACATCACCAATAAAACTCCTCAACAAAGAAAAAATAATCAAACATTTTTGCTTACTTTAAAAAAAAAATGCTGTTCAGATTAAGCCTTAAATGATAATACACATTATGAAAAGTGGAAATATTTTGGAGGAAATTGTTCATATGGGCCGTATCATAAGTCCGATGCCTCATAGGTCCGACGCCTCATAAGTCCGATATTTCGGACCTATGAGACTACGCGTCGGACTTATGAGGCATAAAATATTTATTCCGCCTCATAGGTCCGACGCCTCATAAGTTCGACGCCTCTTAAGTCCGACGTCGGAAAGAAACGAGGCGTTGGACCTATGAGGTGTACCGGCGTCGGAGCTCTGGACCGTTACCAGAAAAGGTTCATTTGTTGGACAAGGCAAGAACGAGATTAAAACAACATTGTGTAATCGCTTACTCTAACAATTGGAGGCGCTAACATTCTTACATTTCACCCAATGTTTGTATTAATTAATAATGGTTGTCGGACTTATGAGGCGTCGGACTGAGGCGTCTGACATAATGATGCGTCGGACTTATGGACAGAAATAAAAGTAAATTTAATTGTCGGACCTTCAAGGCGTTGGAGCTATGAGGCGTCGAAGCTATGAGGCGTCGGACTTATATGACGCGTCGGACCTATGAGGCGTCGAACTTATGGGCCTTTGTTTTGTTGGGGGATGCTATTTTGTCCGGGACTGATGAGGCGTCGGACCTATGAGGCGTCGGACTTATGAGCGGACCCCGTTCATATTAGCACTACACAGTATAGGTAAGTCAGCTAAATATTGTACACTGTCATTTAATTTTATTTTTTTAAGGCACTTACGCATCTTCCCATGTAGCACATCAGTGTTGCTATTAGTCAGGGAATAAACTGATTTAAAAACGTTGCATATCTGCACTATTTACCTAAGGGAAAACAGTTTATTGGCTCTATACCTCTCGGTTATCACGATGAGTGCACTGGAGCAAAATGTTTTTACCTATCAAACGCTAGGGTCGCTCTTCCCCATAAGCAACTAAATCTTGTTTCGCTTTTTCTGCGGACTGTCCGATCTTCCCCTACATAATACAATGTACAATATTTTGTGTCGTTTTTCCACAGATGCTTGTTTAGTCGTGTACCTTGACGTACCGTACGTGCTCTACTGACTGATCAAATGCAGGTCCAGTCCAGTTCAAGTGGACATGTTGCTCTGAGTTTGACCGCTCAAACTCCGAGTCCGAGTCCAACTTCGCATCCAAGCGCCAGTGTTGACGGCAAAGAAATCGGGGACCTGTGAAGAAAAGAAAGGTAGGCCTATAAATGTTCGTTAGTACCTTACATTTTCAATCGCTATTTCTCACTATTATGTTAAATTTACAATGCATTTGACAAACTTCTGCCACAAAAGGTGACAGATGTTACTGCCCAGTTTCCGGACACTCAACGCCGACCTCAGTGAGTCATTTTGTCGGTTATCATAGTTATTGTTAGCCCCATAAATGTGGCCTATTTACTGGACTGCCTCCGTAAACATAGGCCACACATCCACATGTACAAAAATCGTGTCGACTTTGCCAAATTTTGATTTTCACATTTAGGCTTAGTTTGTACTTTGTAGGGTTTTTTTGCTTTAGAAGCATACTCACCCTCTTTATAGGCTAATCAGAAAGTGCTGCCTTTTTCAGATGTATATTTTTCGTGAAATTTCCAGATTCATTTTTACACGTTTGCGTATCAAAATTTCAACATGAAATTTCACAAAAATTAGACATCTGAAAAAGGCAGCACTCTCTGACTAGCCTATAAAGAGGGTGAGTATGCTTCTAAAGCAAAAAAATCCTACAAACTAAGCCCAAATGTGAAGATCAAAATTTGGCAAAGTCGACACGATTTTTGTACATGTGGATGTGTGGCCTATGTTTACGGAGGCAGTCCAGTAAATAGGCCACATTTATGGGGCTAAGTTATTGTCAGTCAGACTGTCCGAGTATCACCCGTTAATATCCACGGAGCCAAGAAGAGTCTCCTGTATAACGTCTGATAGGTCTAGACTAGCCCCATAAATGTGGCCTATTTACTGGACTGCCTCCGTAAACATAGGCCACACATCCACATGTACAAAAACGTGTCGCACTTTGCCAAATTTTGATTTTCACATTTAGGCTTAGTTTGTAGGATTTTTTTGCTTTAGAAGCATACTCACCCTCTTTTTAGGCTAGTCAGAAAGTGCTGCCTTTTTCAGATGTCTAATTTTTGTGAAATTTCATGTTGAAATTTTGATACGCAAACGTGTAAAAATGAATCTGGAAATTTCACGAAAATTATGGTGCGTGTGTCCTTGGGCAAGGCACTTTGTCACTCATTCAATGAGTGCTTCCCCCCACCCAGGAGTGAATGGGTACATGTGAGGGCAGAGATGGTTATTGTGATTGATTGTACGTGTACATGTACATGTAGCCCGACTGCGTCTGGCTGTATAGTACTATCGCAAGCTCTGTAGTACGGCCAGACGCCCAATGCTTCCAAAAAGACTGAATTTTTTTGGCCGCTGATGTAGCGATTTTGCTACAGATTTCGATCGAGATTATCTTTTCATCCAGGACAAAAATTTCCAAAGTTAAGGTTCTTAGTCGTAGAGCAACTCATACCTTTTCGAAAAAACATTCTTTGGTCTAGTAGTAAGGGAGGCGGGGGTGCTGGACTTTGTCATAGGTCTGTGGGTAGGACAGGGCCATTAATGAGAAGTCAGGGTACCAGACTTTGTCATAGGTCTGTGGGTAGTACAGGGCCAATGGGAAATCCCCCGATCTCAAGAAAAAAAAAAAAAAAAAAAAAATCCTGACGCCGGGAGAGAGAGAGAGAAAAAAAAAATATCTGACGCCGGGAGAAAAAAAAAAAAAAAAATCTGACGCCGGGAGAGAGAGAGAGAAAAAAAAATAAAAAAATCTGTCATCGTTAAAATGAGGTGATGTCACCCTCACGTGACCTTGAAAAATGTGGGAGTCACCACCACGTGACCTTGAAACGTGTTGAGGCACGATAAAATTTTGGCGTAAACAACGCGACCTTGAAACGTGTTGAGGCACGATAAAATTTTGGCGTAAACAACGCGACCTTGAAACGTGTTGAGGCACGAATGAGGTGAGTCTGATTGCTTATAAATCTAAAGTCTGTCTTCCAAAAAAAAATGAGAAAAAAAATATTATATTTCCTATAATAAAATGGAGAGTAATATGTTTAGACCGACCGTCAAAGGATATTCTAAATGGAACAAAGCCACGCTGCGTGATTACGTGCAGCGGTATAATATACCGCACAATGAAAATGTTTCTCTTACTCGTAAAGTCTACATCGAGGGGATAAAACATTATGAAAGTAAATTTAAAAACTTGAGGAAAAAGAAACTTTATGAGCTCAAACAGATTGTAGACGAACAAAATCTAGAATACGTACCGACGGGTTATAAAGGACGAGTTTTGAAAAAAGATTTAATCTCGGCGATTAAAACATACAGACAACCCGAATACTTTACAGAGTCAGCTTTTAGAGAAACGAGAAGGTTTAGAAATTACTACAGAAACTGGGAATTAAACCCCAGACTTTATAACCATGATTTAATCAAGTTTTTTGATTCGCACAAGGAACAAATAGTCAATAAAATCAAGTCTGAATTGAGAGAGCTGAGAGGTTTAAAAATGGAGCTCACAATCAAAATAAAATACGAAAAAACCAAACCGGATGGTACGATCGAAACGATCGAAGCTATTCATTATAGCAAGCAAAAAGCCGTTTTAAATCAAAGTCAAATAAAACAGGCTTTAAAAGAAGAGATCGAAGAGCTATTCAAAAAGGATGAAAGGTATACGAATCAAGGATCGGGTTGGGTTTTAAAAAAGATAATGGCGTTATACATCAACATCAACAGATATAATCCAGCGAGAGGTAGTTCCTACATAGACCTACCCGAATATCTTAAAATTAAGAAGGCGATGATCAACATCAAAAACAAAGACGATGAGTGTTTGAGATGGTGTTTGAGAGCTGCTCTTGAGTTGTATACGGATAAAGTAAAAAATCAAATAAGAAATAATCCTAATTATAAAATTCATAAAGAAGAACCTGTTGTATACACCAAAGACGACGGACTCAGTTTTAAAGGCGTTGACTTTCCGACACCGGTCGATCAGATACCCAAGATAGAAAGACAAAATAATTTATCGATAAACGTATATGGTTATGAGGGTGAGATATATCCATTATACGTGTCTAAAAACTACAAGGGGAAAGAGATCGATCTGCTTTTGATTTCTAAAGGTGACAAGCATCACTATTGTTGGATAAAAGATTTTACGAGGTTGATATACGACGTTACGAAACATAAATGTAAGAAATATTTTTGTCGAAGATGTCTTTGTCATTTTACCAATCAAAACAAATTAGACAAACATATCGCCGATTGTAAGGGTATAGATACACATCCATCAAAGATTGTATTTCCTCTGGGTAAACCAAAATACATAGACGGGCAACCAAGTGAAGAGAGAGACGTACCGATATTAGAATTTAAAAACTATAGGCACAAACAAAAAGCACCATTTGTCATTTATGCCGACTTTGAATCCATATTACAAACAACAACATCCACAGATAAAGAGACAAACACAAAAAAGATTAACGTTCACAAAGCTAGCGGTTATTCGCTAGTTGTCGTCCGATGTGACGGTAAAAATGTATATCAAGAGACTTATAGAGGTAAAGACGCTTCAACTAGATTTATAACAACGTTGTTACAATTACAAAGCGATATTAATTGTCTATTTGAAAAACCCCAAACCATGAAATTTAACGAGCGAGCTAAAGACCATCACGATAAAACAAACACGTGTTGGATTTGCGAAAAACCAATTTATACCAATTATTCGAGCAACTGTCAGTGCCAGAACCCCAGAGAACCCAAAACGATAAAACAAAAGAAAAAATATCAGTACAAAAATAGTAAGGGATTTATTGAGTCTAAATGTCTCGACTGTAACAAGAACATTAATAAATTTAGAAAGGTGAGAGATCACTGCCACGTCACTGGTAAATATAGGGGTGCCGCACACGCCTATTGTAACCTCAAACTACAAATTAAACCCGGTTGTACACCGATACCGGTCTTTTTTCACAATTTACAAAATTACGACGCGCATTTAATCATGCAGGGAATGACAGAATATGATAGTCAAACAGAAATACAAGTGATCGCTAAAAATTCAGAAAAGTATATTTCGTTCTCGATAGGAAATCTACGATTTTTAGACTCGTTTAGTTTTATGGCATCGTCGTTGGATAAATTAGTGAAAGCTTGCCCAAAAGAGTCGTTTCAGCTACTCAAAAAGCATTTTAAACATCCTGACTCGCTATTACAAAAAGGAATTTATCCCTACGAATATATGGACTCGTTTGATAGATTTCAAGAGACCAGCCTACCACCCATCAGTAAGTTTTACAGCAGACTAAAAGACGAACATATATCGCAACAAGACTACGACAGAGCTCAACGCGTGTGGAATGAGTTTAATATACACAATCTAGGAGAATATCACGATTTATACGTGACCACCGATACGTTATTACTGGCAGGTGTATTTGAAAACTTTAGAAGAACGTGTATTACAAACTATGGGTTAGATCCAGCCAATTATTTTACCGCACCCGGATTATCCTGGGATGCTCTATTGAAACACTCAGAAGTTAAACTCGAACTGTTGCAAGACGTAGACAAACATTTATTTTTTGAAAAAGCAAAACGAGGAGGTATCTCGAGCGTGGGTGGAATGAGATACCACAAAGCCAATAATCACTATCTCGATGACTACGATTCAAACAAACCCTCGAGTTATATCGCTTATCTGGATGCCAACAATCTGTACGGTTGGGCTATGAGTCAATATCTACCGTACAGCGATTTTAAATGGACACCCTCGAAACCGTTTACCGAAGAAAGAATATTAACGCTGAAGAAAACGTCAAACACCGGTTATTGCTTTGAAGTAGACCTCGATTACCCGAACGATCTACACACCAAGCATAACGATTTTCCCCTAGCACCAGAAAACATCATCATACCCCAAGAGTGGATGTCTGATTATCAAAACGAATTATTAGATACCGAACCTAGTAGCGACGTACAAAAATTAACGTGTACCCTCAATCCAAAACAAAAATACGTGTTGCACTACGTTACATTACAATTGTATCTCAAACTTGGTTTGAAACTAAAAAAGGTACATCGCGTGTTAAAATTTAAACAAGCGCCTTGGATGAAATCTTACATCGA